GTTGTTTTTTTTTTTTTTTTGTGTGTGTGTGTGTGTGTGTTGGTTCTGCCTATCCTGGTTTCCTCAAACGAACAACTGAACATGACAATTCATCTCATGAGATTGCAGCTTTCAAACAATCAACGCTGCTATCGAAACCATATGCCCCTTTGGCTTAGCAATTCTATCCACAGAACGGAACTGCTTAAATTTAAGATAGAGTCATTTCCTCTTTCTGGGTGAAGGATAAGAATAATTAACGTGCACACAAGTCTTAGGAGGATTCTGATGCCAATCTAGCGGTAAAAATGCGACAATGAACAAGCAAAGGCTGGCCGACCCTGTATCCACCCCAGGGTTCAAGCTGCTCTACTCTGACTGACCCACTTCACTGTAGAAACAATTGGCTGAGCTTTCATGACTTGATCAGGACTCGTGTGTTAGATTGATGGATAAAAACTTGCTGATTTCGTTCCAAATATCCATGAAGGACTTACCAGGGGATCTTAGAACTGTGACACTGGGGAGGGCAGCTGCTGCCTGGCTCCCTCCCTCCCTCCCTTCCTTCCCGCCTCAAACATAGTTTTCATTAACATTACATCTTGGTCTATGTTCTTTAATAAGTTACAATTTCATTCCCCTTATGAACGTTGAGCGATAAAAGTGTACAACTATTGGTACTTGCTTGATCTTTGTCTTTAACAATGAATAAATGGGAGAGGGCCCCCCATTCCCATTCGTCTAGCCCAGAGAACGAAAGGCAAAGCTCAATGGGCCTGTCTCCCGTATGCATCAAAGAAAACAAGCAAGTAGACGATGTCGTTCCAAAGACCATAGCTGGGGGCACTGCACGCTATCGTCCAGCCCTAAAGTGCAAAGCCAGCCAGAGGCATAGGCGGATATGCTCTCACCTCTCCTCCTCCTTCAAATAAACTAAAATTAAGTAGTAGATTCTCTGTACCTCTTTCTTCTTCGGTAGACTAGTAGTAGCTTATATATTGTTGTTGGAATTAATAATAATAATAAAATGGGTTTTGGAAAAGAAGGAGAAACAAAAACAGAATTCGAAGAAGAGAAAGAAGGAGATCATGTTGAAAGCAGCGATTACTACTTCGATAAGATTGGGAAACCCATTCCCATCCTCTCTGATCAAACTGTTTCCCCTTTCCCTTTGCAAAACCCTCCTCTTCCCTCTCGCCCCCTCGCCCTCTCCCAATACCACCGTCTCATCTTCATCGCCCATCCCTCTGGTGTTCTTCTCAACTTTCTCATCCTTATACGTCTTCTATTTTACTATATCTTTTCAATTAACTGGCTGGCTCATGCTTTTTTTTTTTCTAGGGTTTCTGGTTGCGAGGACTCAAGATGTCATGGATGCCGCTATGGATATTAAGGAAAAAGGAAGCTCTTCTTCTTCGTCCATTCAACGTGTCAGTCTTGTGGATGTCCCTATTGGGAAAGTTCACATTTTGACACTCTCTACTGACTGCTCTACTCTTGCTGTTTCTGTTGCTGCTTATATTCATTTCTTCCATGTCCATTCCCTTCTCGATATGGTACTCTTTTTTTCTCTCCCTAAACCCTACTCCATCTACTGTCAAATTTTCAAAATTCAAAATTTTGCTATAAATTGTGATCCTATACCTACTCCTTGCTCTAATATCTTTTTTTTTTGCGCAGGAGCAAAAACCGTCCTTCTCTTGTGCTCTGAGTGAACCATCATCATCTACTGTCAAGGATATACAATGGCGAAGGAGACCGGACAATTCTTACCTTGTTCTTTCAAATCAGGGGAAGCTATATTATGGTGATCTTCCTGCCGGCACCCATACTCTTAAACACGTAACGGACAATGTTGATGCTGGTATGCTTGCTTTCTTTCTTTTGCCAATAACAGGTACTAAATGCGATACATGCTAGTAGACTTTTTGGAGCCCTTTAGATTTATCACCACAATGCAGAAACAGATGTGGATGGTCCAATCTAACATCCTTGACAATGCCGAGGCTTTTATTGGGTGTAAATATTGCTTGACTTGGTTATTACAGTTTGTTCGTGTAATATATTATTATACCCTTGCATGAAAACTACCCCTAATACAAGTTTGCTATTCCAACAACTGTACTGTTTTTTCAAATAAAATAAAATTTTCCCATTATGAAGTTGGTGACGAATTTTATTCTGTTACGAGTATGATAATGCTTGCTTGTGCTTGCTATCTTTGATAGTTGAATGGAGTCTAAAAGGAAAATATATTGCTGTCGCAAGAGGGAGTATTATCAGCATTTTGTCCTCAAATTTCAAGGAAAGGTTCAGTATATCCCTCCCATTCAGATCATGGATTGCTGATAGTGATGATAACTGCACTGTTAAAGGTATTTTCTTCCATTGTCAGATCCCATGCCACTCACATGCACGAGCTATTGGATGAATTTCTCTCTCTCTCTCTTTTTTATTTTTTTATTTTTTATGGAGGTAATAATTTGGATGGATGGGAAATGGTTTTTGTATTGGCCAAAGTTGACATCATTTCTTTCTTTGTTAGCAATCTGGTCACTTGTGTTTTCATGTTATGGCCTTCAGATCTATTGGAATTGGTTTTGCATTAATTCAATTAGAGTTTCACTATCAGTTATTATATTGTGGTCTGATTCATATATTAATATCCTCTAAATCCAGTGAGCTATTATTGTGCTTTCATCAAGAAGAATTCTCTTGTGTGAATGGATATACAAAGCTCTTTTGGCTTTTGAGTGCTAGTTGTAAATTTTTTGTTCTTGACTTCATGTCTTTCTACTTAAAAAGGTCTTATCTATTTCCTTGAAATATTTTCTGTTGTTAAGTTCTGGAACTGATTTTTTTCTTGAATAACTGAACCAGTGGACTCTATCAGATGGGTACGTCATGATAGTATCATTGTAGGATGCTTTCAGCAAACTGCAGATGGAAAGGAAGAAAATTACCTTCTTCAAGTAATCAGCAGAAAAGATGGCAAGATTTATGATGTTAGTAATTGTTCTCCACTTGATTATAAGGATTTGGCCTTCACTTTATTTTTGCTGTTTTCTTTATTTAACACCATTTGCTATTGAAATGGTGGATTTTTTTTTTGAGGTGCTACTACACTTGTCTGTTTTGAACTTTTTGCTGAATTAATGTAGGGTTACATGGGTTTAGGGTTTGGGTTTGACACTTTGTGCTTTTGCTGAAGTTCTGAAGGAAAAAAAAGACTACCAAAGCTGTGTGATTGCCATTCTTTGTTTGTATACTTACTGTTTGAGCATTGATTCATGAAATTTTCTTTTGCAGAGTTCTTCCAAGCCAGTCGTGCTATCATTCTATGATCTATTTTCGGGTCTTGTTGATGATATTGTGCCCTATGGAAGTGGACCTTATTTATCCCTGGACTATTTAGAACAGTGGTATCGATGTTAATCTCATACTTGTGTAATTTTTCTTTATACTTGATATGAATGACAACCACAGTGATTGCTTAGTTTGTAATCATTGAACTGGGCTAAAAGTTAGGTAATTGCTATTTTGTTAGGCTCTGTTACTAAATATTGTTTTCACTCGAAGACCATCCCACATAGCATAGCTGTGGTGGCATATAATTTGACTGGCACAAATATTAAGTTTCTTGCAGTGATATAAAACTATGAATTTGTTGAATACTCAATATTGAGAACACTCTTTGTTACTCAAATTTTCCTGCTTTGCGGAACATTTATTTTCATATCCCATCTTCCTTGAAGCTGTATTGTCCAGAACAAAATCTAAGCATTTCCTGCCCATTTACATTTGTCAATAGAAATGCTTTACTTGGGCTCCAGCAGTAACTCTTTTTTGTTAAGGGCTTCAGACCTATCTACCTTGTGCTGCTTATGACTTTTCACTTTTTTTGGTTTATAATGTGTTGTGTAGTATCAATTATCTAATGTGGTTGAGTTTGAAACATTAATGTGATTTTTTTTCTTCAATAATAGATAAATTGCCTACCATTTTTTCCCCATATATCTGGTTACTAGCCATATGTGAGTCCCATTACTCCAGTAAGAAATAAATGCTTCTAATGTCTTTTTAATACCTACCAGTTCAAACCTGCACTGATTGTAATAATTTAAGTTTTTTAATTGCAGTGAGCTTGCAATTACAGCTAACAAGAAGAACACAGATCAGCACATTGTGTTGCTTGGTTGGTCAGTGGAGGATGAGATGAGTGAAACTGCAGTTATTGACATTGAACGAGATACTTGGCTCCCTAGGATTGAGCTTCAAGGTACAGATGAATAAGTGACTGGTGTGTTTTGTAATAGTGTTGATTGTATATACTAAGGACAGCTCAAACAAATCAAGTGATTATTTTGTTTTGTCGAGTGCGTTCAGATGACTTAGTTTTTCTTCTGTCTTGGTTCTCTTGATACTTCATTTTGGATTTTATTCTAAGCATTGTTTAAATGGCCTTGTTTCAGAAAACGGAGATGATAATTTGATCATGGGGCTCTGTGTTGACAAGGTTTCCCTCTATGGAAAAGTAAAAGTTGAAGTGGGGGTTGAAGAACAGAAAGAACTTTCACCCTTCTGTGTTCTTATGTGTGTTACTCTTGAGGGAAAGCTTGTCATGTTCCGGGTTGCAAGGTCAATCTCTATATCATTTGCATCTCCCCTTGTAAACAATAGGATTTGTCATGCCAAATTAGGCAACTAAGTTATTTCTCTCTTCTCACAACCTAAATTATATCAATCCTTTTCCTATGTTGTATATATATGTTCTGACCATTGAATTGCTTTATATTGCAGTGCCACAGGAGCTAATATTCGACCAGAAGTTGATTCTTCCCTTGAGGATGAGAAAGAGGATATTGCTTTGGAACATGAAGGATGTGATCAGTCTAATCTTTCTTCTGGGTTGCATGAACAAACATTGGAAAACATATCACTAGGTCTTCAACCACAACATGTGAGCAACAAGGAACTACAGCTCAATAAAGATGGTGGAATTCCTACACAGAAGGACCTTGTTCCTTCTGACAAGAATGAGATTCCTGAAAAACTGGAAATAAAATCACTTTCTGTACAACAAAGTGTGAAATTAGGGCAGTCATCTTTGAAGGCCTCATTCCCAGAGATACCTAGTTATTTAGGGAGTGATTCCAGCAAAACAGAAACTCAAAAACTTGCTGGGTTTGCGTCTAGATCCACCTTATCTGGAAAAGTTTTAACTGATGCCCCCAGCATATCAAGTCGAAAGGATTTACCAAACAATGCTGATCTTTTTAAGGCACCTCCTAGGGAAGTTGGATCAAATGCTTTACCAGGTGTCCCATCTCAGTCATGGTCAAGTGGAAAAGTTACATTATCAGCTTCAACTTTGATTCAAGGAAATAGACCTGATTATAATAATGTTCAAGTTGGTGCTGCAAATGTTCCTAGTGACCTTGGCAGTAAATCTTTTTGCATGAAGGATACTGCTGGTCAATCAACTTCTGTCAACACTTCTGTTAGACCAGCTCTTGACAGGGAACAAAGAGGTTCGATTGTGTCAGGGACAATTGAATCATTGCCTACCTTTCGAAGCTCACAGTTGTCATCTCACGAAAATTTTGCTTCAGCCAGGTCTCCAAACCACAGACTCAAGTATTCAAAAGACAACTACAAAACTTCATCCCTGAGGAGTTCCGAGCCAAACTTATCAAAACAATTTGGTAATGTATGTGTATTTTTCCTATGCTGGTGTTACAGAAAAATTCTAATCTAACTCTGGGACAGGATTTCTTACAGTTATCCTGCCATTTCAATCCTTTAATGTGAATTGTATCTTTGTTTATTTGAAACTTTATAACCTAGCAAAAACTGAAAGGCAGCATTGCGAGATAGTACCTCTGGAGATTCTTAAATTTTAGTTTCTGTACTGTCAATCAAGTTTAGTCTTGCATAAATTTCACAAGCATTTACCTGCTTCACGAGCCAGCATATCAAAGTTTTTTTTTTTACAGGTACATTTTACATGATTGGCTTGTTCCCACATATGCATGTGTATATCCACATAAATGTCCTCTTTCTCTTTGGGATCTTGGTTGTTTCGTTTTCTCTTCCTTTTGAGGAATGGGAATGTGATGTTTTTCTTATTTTCCCAATTGCACTGCTTCTTTTGTCTAGTATTGTCCTTTAAGAAATTTCCATACTCTAGATTAAAGAGCTAGCCAAAGAGTTGGATACACTTCTGGAATGCATTGAAGAAAAAGGTGGTTTCAGGGATGCCTGCACTGTTTTTCTGAGAGACTCAGTTGAAGCTTTGGAGGAGGGCATGGGAACTCTCTCTGAAAATTGCAGAATGTTGAAGGTGATATTTCATTGTAAAGCTCATTGTTATTTCTTAGCTCGGTTATCATGTATCATTATCAGCTTGCAGGTTTGATTTGTTTACACTTTCATCTGTTGTTCTGTTGGTTGCTATAATCACTAGAAAATTATCACTCAGTAAGAATGATAGGTTCTTTAATATTTAAGGCAGTAAAGCAAAAGTGAAAATTGGGATGAGAGAGAGATTTCTGGTCTTCTTATCTCCTAGTAATAGGATTAATAGCAAAATAGATGAAACTTGAGAGTACAGCTTTGGAGTTGAGGTCCCTTTTGAGTGAATCTCTTCCAAGCTGACCATCTATGAAACAATGACATTTTAAACTCAGGTGTGTAAATATGATTTTGCATGGTCATCGATCTATTAAGACCTGGATGTCTGTGTATGCCTATGCATTTTTGTGCATTATGTACACTTTATATAGGTGCTTCGTGATGTATGAAGCCAGATTGCTTCAAGTGTTATTTATCGTGTCTTAGTATTTTTCAGAGTGTGATGGATGAGCGGCTTGGAGAGATCCATCATCTTCTAGATAAAACTGTGCAAGGTATTTTTCAGTTTTCCAAATGTCTTGTTATTGCTAACAGCATTTTCATTTTCTTGAATTGAATTAGTTTAGAAATTTCTTAATATGAGAACTTTCAGTAACTTAAAAGCAGAAGTTACTAAGTCATATTGATATAGACGTCACTTCACTGAAAGTTTTAGAAATTACTGCAATCTGCTGCAAAATACTATTTCAGGATTATAATGAAACTGGTATAATGCATCTCCCATTTTTTATTGTGTTGGTTTCTTGGTTTGAGTTTCCATTTGGTTATTCATCTGGTTTTCAGTCTTGGCAAGGAAAATATATGTAGACGGTATTGTCAAGCAAGCTTCTGATAGCCAATATTTGGAACTCTGGAATCACCAAAAGTTGAGCTCCGAACTTGAGTTGAAGCGGCGATGTATACTAAAACTAAATCAGGTTGGTTATCTGTTGTTAACTTGTGAGATTTGTCCAAATTGACAATTGCTATATCTTAATCCCTTTTCCAGGAGTTGACTAATCAGTTGATTCAATTGGAGAGACACTTCAATGCCCTTGAACTTCAGAGTTTTGGTGGAAATGCTGGATTTCACACGGATCGGAGAACTTTGCAGATTAGATATATGCCTTCAAGGTATAGTTAATATCAGATGGTTAGCTTGTATATGAGAATTGCTAAAAAGAAGATAAAGCTTGAAAATAAAATCTACGATGTTGTTAATAGCTTGCAGAATCTGCTAATCAAACAATTGCTGGAATCTCATAATCAAATAGATAGCAAGGCAATCCAATTTTAGCTTTGTGAAAATTGGTGGCTTTGCTATACTAATTTTACTAATTCTGAAAATATTTTGTTTGCAGACAACTTCAGCACTTGCATAGTTTACAAAACACGATGAGTTCACAGTTAGCAGCTGCTGAACAACTTTCTGAATGTCTCTCAAAACAAATGTCCATGCTGAGTTTAGAGTCACCTGTAAGACAAAAGAATGTCAAGAAGGAACTTTTTGAAACAATTGGAATCCCGTATGATGCCTCTTTTAGCTCGCCAGATGCAATGAAAGTTGGTGATACCACTTCATTGAAGAAACTTTTACTTTCTTCAGGTTCTGCTGCCACTAAAGGTAAGTCTAGGAGACACCAATCAAGTGCTATGAAAAGTTCTGATTCAGAAACTTCCAGGAGAAGGAGAGACTCGCTTGATCAGGTAATTCTTTTTCGAGCCATTTTATCAAATCTTGATGATCACTCTAGTGTTAATCACATGGTAACCTCAACTAGTTGATATTGAAATTTAGTTGTCCTGAGTTGAGTCCCCTTTTGATACTCAATTCACTGAAGCTAGATTGCTTTTGCAGATTGCCAAAAATTTGCTTGAATTATAGAATCAATGCACTAGAACTTTTCCATTGGATATATGAATTGATCTTTGCTCAGACCATTCTGCTTTGTTACTCTTATTATGGATTCACTACCCTCTTCCACATGACTTTTTGGCGATGTAACTTATATTTAAAACAATGAAATAATATCACTGATGTGAACAATTCAGGAGATGGAAAAATGTACACAAGAAGAGACTTAATTCAAAACTTCAAGATAAAAATAAATGGGAAGAGATTCAGTGGTTGAAACTTCTTATAGCCATGTTTGGAATCAATTAAGGTTGCTCTTCCAGGAGATTTAGTTTGGTTTCAGTGTGCATAATAATTTTACTAAAATATATGTTCTGCTAAATTAGCAGAAGCATAGTTAACTTTAAAGAAAACCAAAAAGTTTTAACTTGAAGAAAACTAAAATTCCTGCTAGAACTTCATGTTATGCTTTATTGTTATTATCTTAAAGTATTCCATATTATCCACTGTGCTGAGATTTTTTGCAAGCTCCAACATGCATGTTATTTCTTATGACCCTGCTGCAGAGCTGGGCTAGTTTTGAGCCTACCAAAACAACTGTAAAAAGGGTGCTTTTGCAAGAAAATCAGAAGAAAAATGTGAATAAATCACTCTCGTTGAAGGATAGGCAAATTTTTAGTTCTGGCTTGGGGGACATCTCCACAGTTCACCAAGAAGACCAGACATCCCGATCTCTCTTGCACCCAATGGAAAGCAAAGGTGAGCTATTACAAAGTTTAGATGACACAGCATGTGTTCACTTATCATCTAAAAGCATAGGAAAAAAAGGCACCTGATGGTTGCTATTTTTTATGTTTAAGCAGGCCTTCATTATGGATCCCCTAAACAAACGTTTGAGAAAAAACCAACCGTTCCATTTAAATGGGCTACTGATCCTCCAATGTCATCACAGCCTCTGGGCTCGCATTCTCCTATACTGCAAAATAACGACGTAGCGATGGTGTCAGTTTTGTCATCCCTGGTATCACTGCCAGGAGGAGAAATAAGTAGCAGGGAATCCTACAATATGACTGCTGATAAATCTAAGAGTATGTTTTCTCAAATTGAGAAGCCTGATTCTGTTTCCACCAATGAGACCAGATGTATTCAGCAAACTGAAACTAATATAAATAAAAATTCAGCAGACTCTGCCATGCCACCAATGCAGACACCTTTGTTTCCAAAGAAACCAGATGAGATTCCTGTTTCAACTACCAGTAGCGTGCTTGCAAAGTCAGCAATGCAAAGTGTGAAGCCTGGACCAGCAGACACCAAAAGTTCATTTTTCAAATCTCCCAATAAAAATTATGAGCATCCGCTCTCTTTGTTAGGTACCTCTTCTATGGCTCCCACCCAACCTGGAAAAGTTCCTGAGATCAATTTTGCTACTAGCAAAAGCCAACCTAGTGAAAAAGTTTCATCTTCGCCATCAGCCTTCATGTCGCATTCAGTTTCATCATCTCTGATGTCCAATGTATCACCAAACATCTCATCATCAATATCTACACCGATGTTGTCAGCTGCAATGTTACTGAGCACATCTTTAACCAGTCCTAAGGTCACCACCAGCTCTAATCAAACCGTTACTTCGACATCATTGTCATCAGTTTCTGTCTCACCTGTTTTTTCTTCTGGTTCATTGTCTTTTCAGGCCCCCAGGACAGTGTTACCCTCACATGCTCCACCTCCAACTTCAGAGGTTTCTCCAGAGCTGCAACCCCCTCTAGGGAAGACTCTGCCTTCTAGCAATCCAAGTCCTTCATGTTTGACATCAGAATCCCTTGAAACAGATATTCAGCCTCTTATAGGAAAACCTGCACGAAATGTAAACCCCACTCCAACACCTTCAGTGTCAGAATCACTTGAAACAGAGCCCCAACCTCCTGCTGGAAAAAATCCACCTTCTGTCACTCCAGTTACCCCTTCAGAATCAGATTCCTCAAAAACAGAGGTTCCACATCCTCCGGGTGAAGCAAGTTCAAAGTCAGATGTGGATGTTCCCACAACTGCTCCACAGCCTAACCCCTCTACATTTGGTTTGAAGCTTGAACCTTCAGCATCATCTGTCCTTACTACAGGACTATCAACTGGATTTGCACCAGTAAACCAGCCCAGCTTGAACCACTCTGGAAGTACTGAATCTAAGGCGGCTCTGAATTCTCAACCTCAACAGCCATCTTCTCATAATGTTCCTTTTGGAGCACCAAACCTGACTTCTGATAGCGTTAGTGGAAAGAATGGAAGTTTGGATGTTGCAGTTACAGAAGAGGTTGAAATGGAGGAGGAGGCTCCTGAGGCTAGCTGCACAAATGAACTTAATTTGGGAAATCTTGGAGGTTTTGGGATTGGTTCAACCCCTATCCCAACTGCTCCTAGAGCAAATCCATTTGGCAGTCCATTTGGTAGCACAGGATCAAATGTAGCAAGCTCTTCATTGACCATGACTGTACCTAGTGGAGAGCTCTTTCGCCCTGCCTCTTTCAACTTTCAATCTCCTCAGCCATCCCAAAAGCCTCCACCAACAAATATGGGTGCTTTCTCTGGTGGCTTCGGCACAGGAGCAGTTGCTCAAGCTCCTGCTCAAAGTCAGTTTGGCCAGCCAGCACATATTGGATCAGGACAGCAAGCACTGGAATCAGTTCTTGGGACTTTTGGGCAGTCAAGACAGTTTGGAACTGGTTTACCTGGAAGTGGTTTCCCTTCTACCAGTGGTTTTGGTGGTGGCCTTGCTACTAGTAGTTCAGCAGGTGGCTTTGCAAGTGCTGCAACTGCTGGCGGGTTTGCTGGTGTTGCTTCTACTGGTGGTGGATTTGCTGCTTTGGCCTCATCTGGTACAGGATTTGCTGGTGTGGCTGCTGGGGGTGGGTTTGGTAGTGTAGCTCCTGGTGTTGGGTTTGGTGGAGTGGCTTCTGGTGGCAGTGGCATTGCTGGTGTGGCTTCAGGTGGAGGTGGGTTTGCCGCTGCAGCCTCGAGTGCTGGTGGTTTCGCAGCAGTGCCTGCATCTGGTAGTGGATTTGGTGCATCAGGTAGCATTATTATCTAATACTCCATTTTCCTCATCATTTGTTTAATGATCTTTGCTGATTTGCAGTGAAAATTTGCACAGGTAGTGGATTTGGGGCTTTTGGCAGCCAACAAGGTACTGGAGGATTCTCAGGTTTTCCCGGTAATGCGGGAGGCAGCCAACAAGGAATTGGTGGTTTCTCTACTTTCAGTGGTAATCCAGCAGGAACTGGAAAACCCGTGGAATTGTTTACACAGATGAGAAAATAGGGTCCAGAGCTTTTGGACTAGGATTAGAAATTTTGTTCGCAAATGAAAAATGCATTTGGTAAAATAGAATGTAAATTGAGATTCAACCGATGTGAGATCACATTCTGTCTGCAATCTGAGTTCTGCTCTTTCTTATTGTTGGACCTTTTTACCAAATATTATGCCAATGGGGGTGTCAATTTATTAATGAATGCAACATATTGTGTGTGGATAGATCACTGAAATTGGAGATAAAATGGGATTGAAATTCTCCAGGATATACTTTTGCTGTTAAACATGCAGGACAAAACAGACCGTAGGTTGGATTTATGGCCGTTTAAGTTGTGGGCAGGAGGAGTGGGGTTTGTATGCTGGAATACTTGAATGGTTGGTTCCCCGCTTGAATCCGTCACTCTCTAATGGTTATACATGGTTGACAAACCAAACACTTTAAGCTATGGCAATGCAAAGGCAACATTGGAAAAGCTAACACCCGTTCTCTTGTATACAATAATCACGATATTGTAACAAAACTTGAGAAGAGCAGAAGGAAAGGGGAAAATAAACAAAATCCAGGAGTCAGAAGCTTTCAGCCTCGATATCATTGTCAAACAGGAATGCCTAGTTCAGAAATCTTCGTGATCCGCTTGTCAGGTTTTCTCTATTGCCGCTTCAATGGCGATGCCACAGAAGCAACCTAACCAATAAAATATAGAGATATCACCTTCAACACAGTTATTGATTAGGAGAACGAACGAATACCATAGAAGATAGAATATCAGAAGTGAATGTTGATAGTTGATGGATAAGAAGCAACTCATGCAGGTCACAGGTGCCGCATGCTTGCACCAGAAGCATCAAGGTTTTGCTGCTGTCAATTTAAGTGTAGATAATGTCTGACAGCCAAGCCAGGTTACCGTAGGAGATTCTCATACCCTCCACCACAACAATTCAGTGGACATATCTCATTCCTGGGCTTTCCATCACCGAATACAAACTACAGCTTCTGTCACAAATGTATAGGTAGACAATAGGCACTGTGAAAGCCCAACTGGAAAGAATATTTACCCTCTTTCTCATAATCTTTATATATATACATGTCAAATTAACTCAATTATTATTACAATTTACCATTTCATTTCAATTGAATTTGAGCATGTAGATGTTCATATCTGTCTGTAATTTAATCCATAGAAGGCAATCCTGCATGTGAAGACTGCTCTTTGTCCAGAGCAAGCATTTCTATCCAGTACTCTACCAGACACAAGATTTCGTGTCATTAAGTAACAAGCTAACAATTATGAGTGCATAAACTTAGCGATCAAGTTAGGAACAAAAAGCAACAATGACGATGTCTTTATATAAAATTAGAAAGAAGCCGCAGGTGATAGCCCCACCATCTGCTTTTTAAAAGGCTCTTCTTTACCTGTTTCACCTTTTTAAAATTGTTTTTCAACAGTTTTAATATAAAAAATAAATTTAAAAAAAATATTATTTTAATATAATCTCGATTAATTAAAAACCTCCGATCATCACATTGCCTGTAATGGTGAAAAGAGGAGCAGGGCACGTTGTCATTCCAAAGACACTCTTAATTTCCTTTCTGGGTCTTAATTTAAAAATAATAATTTTTTATTAGGTATTTCACTTTGAAAATCTATTTCTAATAATGTCTAAATTTATAAAAAAACAAGGATAAATGAGTCATCAATTAAATATCAAGAATGAATTTAAAAACTTGATAGGATAAACATCAAAATTTTATTGATATTTTTATTAATTGTTCATCTAAACTTTTAATTATTCAAAAACATAAAAATATAGATAAAATAAAAAATTAAGTAAATTAAAAGACTATTGTGTTTAAGTATATGAGCTCAATCCTAAATATTTTAATGACCTACAAGAACAAACCATGCAAAAAGATGAACTTAACAATATAAATCCAAATATGTAAGAAAATAGGGTTAATAAAGAATAAAATAATTCTGTTTTAATGGTAAAGTAAGTAGCTTTAAGAAATTTTTTAGTGGAATTAACCAAAAAGATAAATATATTCCTAGAAAAGTCTCACAATATTAATTATTTTAAAGTACATGATTTTCCATCCATCATGCTTGATATCTAGCATACCAAAGATTTAGAGCAACATGTTCCTTACCCCTTATGTTTCATGTCCAACACGTTAAAGGTTTAGAGCAACATGCTCCTTATCCCCTCATGCTTGATATCAAACACGTCATAGGTTTATAGCAACATGTTAAGCTTTTTGATGCCTTATCTTTGACACATGATGAGAAATATCAAGATAATTGTAATTTACTAGGTTTTATCCAAACTATATCTATTAATGTTTCAAATGGTATTTGTTTCATTTCACATCCCCAGTCATATAGTTTTTATAGTTATAAATTTAAAAAGCCTGCATATCTTATTTTTATATCTATTCATTCTAAAATTTCTTACTCAACTGAGTCTTTTACATGTAGGATTTATAATTTGCATGTTGAGGTTATAAACATATTCAAACAAGTAATGAACAATATAAATTTCAAGTTGATTTATTTAAATTTTATGATACACTTAATGTTGAAGATTATTTCATGATACAGATTAGACTTGAATGATATTTTTTTGGAACTCGTTATAAATTACAAGTGAGTAGTGATACACCATTCAAAGTGTTGTAAATGATTGAATTAAATAGTTATGTCATTAAAATGACATTAAACTTTGATATTAGCTCTACTATTCATATCAAAAACCTTGTTATATATAAAACACAATAGCCTATCATTGATGATTCTTTTAAAACCCTTGCCTTATTATCCTTATTCTTGGCACAAATGAACAAATTCATGCTATTTTGGATGCACAAATTGTTTTTACTAAGGATAATGAACTTCAATGAATCCCAATACATGAGTTAGACAGTCATATTGAGACTATACTTGAATTATTAGAAAGACACAACAACAGCTTGATCATGATCTTCAGGAGATTATTGGAGCGGCCTTGAGCTTTATTCAATAAGGTGAAGTTTATCTAACCTCGAGAAAATTGGTGGGGACATTAGACTCCTATAATTATAGACGATAGAGGGTAGTCTAAATCATTAAAATATTGAAGTTTAACTTATATTTTGGTTTAATTTATTTAAATTTTTAGTTGAGGTTAATTAGGATTTATTTGTGGGCTTGATTTAATTATTGTTAGGTGTTTTATTTAGTGATCTATAAGTCTAATTGCTTGTTCTAATTAAGATTTTAGTATTTATATGATATTTTTCTAAATGTTAGATAATTGTTGATGAATTAAATAAAAATTGCAAAGTTACAGGCTTTTTAAACCTCCATTCTTTTCTCCTCTAACTTTTTTCTTTTCTTTCTTTGGCTTCTTCTTCCTTTTAACCTTTTCTTCTATCTCATCTTAGTTTATTACTTTATCTTCAAATCTCTTTCGTCAGTATCAGTATCACTTGTTTGTTTCCATAAGACTTTTTGTTTAATCTTGTTTTAATAACTTAGACACCCCATGATTAAATTATTTTATTTAAAGTTTGAATTTTATATTATGATAAGTATTATGAAGTATTATTTGAACTTTTATTGATTTTAAAGAATATTTTAGAAGTTTAGAAAACACTATTATGATTGCTATATAATTTATTTTGTGATAGATATATTATGAAACTCAACACATATAAAATGTTTTTATAACATCGCTCTTATTGGTAAGAAATCTCAAGGCTAAGTAAGGTTTAGTCGCTGTTGTGTTTTGTTTTTTTATTGCTAGAAAGTAAAAGCCTACCCTTTCTCTCTATTTTCTTTTATTTTTTTCACTTTTTTTCATTTCAATGAATGGTGTACATATCTTGTATAAGCGTATGCATATAGTGGCGGAGTTATGTAGGGGCAAGAGGGGGCAATTGCCCCCTCCCCCTTCAAATTAGCAACCATCATTGTCACTTTTAATTTCATTTTAATTATTCCATGGTATAAAACTGTATTATTTTTTTTAAGTAATTCATATAAATTAATATCCCAATTAAATAAAATATAGATATTTAATAGCTAAATCAAACATAATATAATAGAAAAGGAGTTAATCAAAACTAATATAAAACTGTGCTATTTTTCTATTTGTTTCATTATATAATTTTAGTTTTATTTTTTTATAATTAGTTATTAATAATTTTAGGGTTTATAATAATTTATGGGTTTTTTGAATTAATATGTGTATGGATAATATAATAAGTTAATAGATATGAATTGAAATGAATTTTGATGAATTGATAAGTATTTTATTATGCATTTCATATAAAAAATGATGATAATAAATTTACTAATGATTAAAAATAAAGTACAGGACAACTAAAAAAAATTAAGGATATAATAAATAAATTAAATATTTATATTTAATTTACTTATACAAAACAACAAGTCAATAAAAATAACATCAATTTATATTAGTCCTTTGAAGCTATGATTTTAGATGTTATGTACTATATGTCAATATAAAATTATTGCCAAGAACTTTCCTAGTCTTTGAAAAATTTAGAAATAGATAAATGAAAATTTGTTACATATTGAAAAAGATATTTTTAATGAGATTAAAAATAAAATTATTATGAAACAGTTTTAAAATATAAAATCTCGAAGAGAACAATTATAATTTAAGTTTTTTATTTTAAAAATATTTATAAATTAATTTTGTTTAACTTGAGTTGGTATATATATTTCAAATTAATTTTTATATATAATGTATGTGTAATATATAATATTAAATATTTTTCAGTAATTTTCCCTCTCATTTAAAAAATCTTAGCTCCATAATTGTATGCATGCATGCATGTATCTCTTGTTAGACTAGACATTTAATTGCATCCCTTCACACCCTGCATTATAAACACACACACACACACATAAATAAAATGTTGTATATAGTACCGCACCATGTGATAGAGAGACCACCACGTTAATTGTCAAGAGACAATATATAATATATTATAGCTTTCTCTTAGAATTAAAAACGTGATGTTACTGTAGAAGGTTATATACAGATTTGAAAAGAGAGAAAGAGAGAAGAAAGAAGAGAAAAAGAAAGAAGAGAGAAGAGAAAAAGAAAGAAAGAAAGGAAGAAAAGGCAGCAAAGTAGTCTGTCTTTTTTTTTTTTTAATTTCTAACTCGTTCACTGTTGACTCGGGCTGAGATTTTGACAGCAGCTTCTAGACACGTTACTCTTTATTCTGAATGGTTGGATCGAAAATTGATAGTGTGAAAGTTGGCTGTTTTGATAGAAAATAAGGTTATCAGTATTGTGAGTTTTTTTTCTTAAATACTTCTTCTTTAATCTTGTTGTATTCCGATAATAAGTTGTTTTTGATGATATGTATGTTGTAACCCTTAGTTGAATGTAAGGAAGAAAAGTTGTGAATCTATTATTTGTTGATAGTGAAAGTTTTTAGGTGGACTACGGTTCCGTGGTTTTTCCTGCAACAGGTTTTCTATGTAAAAATCTTGGTGTTGATTTGTGTGATTATTGCTTTATATTTATTGATTGTTTGATCATAATTTTGATTGTATAAATAGAAAAAAAAATTAGAACTTGTGAATTGTAAATTAATCCGGGTAGATTAATATCCGATTATTCGTTCTTAATTTTTTCAATATAAAAATAAAAAAAAAAGAAGAAAAGGAGTGTAGTTTATATTTCATTTAAAAAAAAAGAAGAAAAAGAGTGTAGTTTATATTTCATTTAAAAAAAAAAATTATTTAAGAGATGACTTTCGCTATAACGACTCTTTTCAATATTTAGCTCTTTTTCTTATTTAATTTGATATATATATATATAATTAACTCAATTATTATTACAATTTACTATTTAATTTCAATTGAATATGTGCACGTAGATTGGTTGCTCTTTGATCGGATCCCTTGGACATTTGTACAATGGCGTCTTGCTCATTAATTTGGCTCTCTTTGTTCGCCCTCGTCGCCATTGAGAGCACCAGTCAGCGCCTTTTCCGTACCGACGCTTTCCTCCTCTTCTCCTCTCCTCTCCTCAACGTTGCATGGTTCATCCTCTTCTCTCATTTAGGACTGATCAAAAAAACTAAAAAGTTAATTAAATCAAGAAAATAAAAAAAAATAATTGAAAAAACCAAACTAAAAAAAAATTGATTAAACCAATTAAAATTTTAAAAAAACCAACCAATTCAGTTTGGTTTCGGTTTTATAACCAAAAAACTGAAAAACCGAACCGAAAAAAACCGAGCCAAAACCGAGCCAAACCGGAAAAACCGAGCCAAACTGATTTGAACCGGTTTTTCCCCTAAAAAACCAAACCGAACCGAACCGAAAAAAACCGAGCCAAAACCGAGAAAAACCGAGCCAAACTGATTTGAACCGGTTTTTCCCCTAAAAACCCAAACCGAACCGAACCGAAACTGGTCGGTTTGACCCGGTTTCGGTTCTGTTTCTGGTTTTTTTTTTTATTTTTTTTTTATTTTTTTTTTTTTTTTTTCAATTTGATTATTTTTTTTTAATAAAAACAGAACCCAACCGAAAATGATCATCCTTTCTCACCCCATCTGGTACCTTCTCGTTCTTCTTTTTTCCTTTAACTATTCATTATGATATCATGCTGCTGCTGCAAACCAAAGTTTCACGCTTTCATACAATAACCTTTCACATCAGAAAATAAATCATGATGCGAAGTCTAAAGTTTCATTCTTCAACATTATAATATATATCTAAAAGATTCTACTCCACTTGAGGAGAGGCATGGCGCGCGGTTATTTTTCAATTTACTCTTTCTCTGTATTTCTTTAAAAAAAAAGAAGAAGTTATCAATTTATATATAGAAGATGGGCGACATCATGCGGCAATGCTCACGGTTCCTACTGTATTTTGTGTATCAATTGAAAGTATTGTCTGTTTGTGTCGTGTTGCAGGAACATTTCCTCTGACAAGAATGGACTGTTCTTCGTCTTTTCAGTGAAACTCACTCTGGCAATGCCAATCGTAGGTTTTACAAAGAGGTTGTCATCCTCAGTGTTATGGATTCAAATCTACAGATTGGGGGTTCCTTATATAGGTAGTACAGCTACTCGAGAAGCAGATTTTGATTTAAGTAGTAGTTTTCTCAGTCCAGCAACTCCTGCTACTCTAGGTAGAGAATGCTCAGATTATGATGTTGTTTTAGGGGGTTCCATTTACGATCCAGCTTATTACTCGTCTCTTTTCGAAGATGGACAATACAGCAGACGTCTCCGTCTGGTAGGCTATACCTTACTTGTATGCCATGCTTTACTTATTTAACCTGGACTTATTAATGCCTTTGATATCTTCGCTTAGTACTTCTTCGCTATATATGTAATCTTTTGTCATGTTTTTTATTTTTTACTTTTGCACAATACTTCCACGTGCACAAGAGAATTTGTTAATTACTTGCCCATGGAAATGTTATGCCCGGTCTGGTTAAAGAGAAAGGAGGAAATTGCTGAAGGGATAAGGTGGGGAGGAGATGGTGGCACTTATCATCCATTTGTTTCCGACATAAATGCTTTGAAGGAAGGAAGAGAGTGAGTTTTGTGCTTCTACATGCATTTCTTTTATTTGTAAGTTGGAAGGAATCAATATTTGTGTGTAATTTTGCATGGTTTATGTTATTTAATTGCAGGATCAAAACTCTGGAGTCTGTGACGATGGATCTACTTCTAGTGCTGAAGCTTCTCAGGTGAAGGTGACCACTCGCAGAGCTTTTGAAGCTGTGGATGTAGGTATACGGAAATTCGTCCTAGATAATGGTGACTTCCAGTAAATTACCACCCTTAAGGACAGTGTTGTAATTTTGGCAAGCAATTTGATGAGATGATTTTTTTTTTTAATCGTTATCATTATTCATTATTTGAGCTCTTGGAGTTAATTTTCTGATTTTACTTGTACATTCAGCTATCCCACTGCACTTGTGGGGGTGAGGTTTTTTGTATTTAGCATTCCAAGCTCGTAATTTACCTATAGCATATGTCACATCATTAAGAAACTTAGTTTGGTCTTTTTATCAGCAAGTTTTCCATCTGTTTCTTCTCTGGTATATATTTAAAAAAATCATATATATGCTCTGAGCCAGACAGTGTTCTTCAACCTATTCCTTACTGAACTAAAGGCTATTTAAGCTGATTCAACATTGACCCTCTTGGCACCTACATATTATGATTAACTGTGCCACTTCTGTATACCTTCTGCCCGCATCAGTGACATGGTTCAAATATATCATTCCCCAGAAGTTGATCGGGTGGGATGGGTTACAATGAATGCCTGTTTAATTAGCATGGTCAAATGGAGATATATGTAGAGTTGTATTAAACAGGCAGATAGCAATGATGTAATATGTATGATAGCCCTGCTCATGCTCTGGCTTTACTTGCTTTGGGCCTGTGCAGTTGAATAAATATTTTCATGAGAATTAGTGCTCCATGGGTTTCCTGTGTCACATAGTAGCTGGACACTGCTTAATTAGTACAGGTTGTTCACGCAACACATTTTCTGAGTTTGTCAACTCATCTCGCATAAGGGAGTTGTTGTGCAGTTGTGATCCTCTGAAATGGCTGATCTCAATACTCAAAGCTCATGGTCTTATGCTGAAGACAGTTTCTTAAGTCACTGGGCTTTGCCATTGTAGTTGTTTTCATAATTGAATTGGACATACCAGTTTTCAGTAAGTTATTTTGGGCTGCTTGGATTTCTAAATAAGTCTACTGGCATGCTGCTTGCTCTGACTAGTTTTAGCCTTTGCTGGAGGAGGGTGCAGCAGGCAAGCCTCAAACTATTTGAATTGCATCATAGATATGTGAATGTTCTGGTCTTTTCGAAGTTAATTCCCTTGATGTGGGCCATGCGGCTAGTTTTATGCGGGGATGATACCTGTGCAGTTCTTTATTCCTGCCATTTCTTCTCAAGAGGATGGCTTCCAATCCCAATGTTTCAAGGACCACACTTTGAGCTTCTTCTGTGAGTTGGCATAATGTCAAAGATTTAGCATTGGGATTTTCATAGGTCTCCCTTTTGCTAACCAGTGCCGTTTTGCTGGAGGCGGCGAGGAGATCCGTACGTGCTCAAGCTCGCAGCGTCATCTTATTCGGCAAGTGACCAGTCAGCTCAATCTGATGTCAATTTTTGGAGGCTTTCGTTTCTGTTAACACTACATGAGAATTCATTACAGAGTTGAGAGTCCATACGGAGGTTCGCCAACTCTCCAGGAGTAGAGATATCTATACAGAGACATTTGGTTTGGATGTTTTCTCGGCTTCGGGGATAGCAAACATTTGAATTGTGCTTCTGGTTCAAGAAACCTCAATGACACCTGTTCATGTTCATAAGAGCAAAGGTGAAAATCCAGCCAAGTTTCCCCAAACGAGCCCATCACCCCTTGATACACTCAAAGCTCACTTCATGGCAAGAGAATGATAGAGGGCATTACGGATACAGATTGTTGTTAAACTTTATTTTCCCTTTGACAATTTAGCCCTCCTATTGAACTTGATTTAAGATCAAATCCTTTTGGTTTCCAAACACCGGATTGGTCTAAAGCCATGATTACTTTACTTGCATGTTTTTTAAATGATTTTAATTCGAGATCAAAGATTACGAATTAAAAAAAAAGAAAAAAAGAGAGAGGGTATAATTGATAGAGTGTTTTTACCAAAGATACGAACATTTCCAAGAAAAAAGATTTGGTTATTCCATAACCTTTTCCCCGTCATTAATGCTTCGTTAACTAATCAATCCTCCTACCTACTCTTATCTAATGATTCCAATTAAGTCATTTTCATCATTAATTGCATCAGCAGTGTGTAAAAGGGAAGGACCTGCTGTTTAATTCTATAATTGAACGCGTGGTAGTAATAACCTTTTTTTAATATATATTAAAATGATATTTTTTTTTTTTTGAAATTTTAATCCAAAAATATTAATTTAATGAAAAAAATAGTTTTCCAAAGAGCACGGCACACGCAAAAACAAGCAGCTAAACCTCAGCTACAAGGACGCAATTGATAAAAAGTCAGTAGAAGGATGAAATACACAAGGCAGAAGAGTAAAAAGGATGAATGGTGCCATTAACCTCGCCAGATTTGAATGATTAATAGAGAGAGAGAGATTGGTCGGTGGGTCCCCTCCGTGTCTCTCGAGTATGGCCCTGGTAAATTGGCAAATGGGAATCCAAGGTAGCTCTTTCTCGCTTCTTCTCCTTGGTTTTTTTTTTTTTTTCCTTTCCCGGTCAGCCCTCTCTTTCCTCTTCTCCACCGAAAAATAAAAATATAACCAGAGTGATTTCTCCGTTTTCTCCACCAAATTTTACCATCCAAAACAATAATAATAATAAAAAAAGGGAAAGAACTTCAGGTACAAAGCTCCAATCTTTCTGTGTTTCATGCATCGATCTAATATAGAAATATGATGTGTGGTTATGTTTTGTATTTGCGTGTCAAAGTGAAATGGTTTGCTTTTAATATCATATCCTATCCTATGTTAGATGATTTGAATGTTCGTTGTCAAATTCTATGAACTTGACTGTGCTCTTTTTTCCTGCTCTCCATGCTTCCAGATCTTTCTGCTCCCTCGTAAATTTGTACCCTTTATATAAATCCCCCCCTCCCACCTGCCCTTTTTCTTTTTATTGTTGTTTCCTCTTAAAAGCGTCTTCAGTTTCTTGCTCATATTTTTCTCTTAAATCATCATCTTGTCTTGAAGAAGTAGAGTACAAGACCACATATTTTAAGGTGTTGATCGAAAGGAGAATTTTGGGTTTTCCTTGGTTTTTTCATTTATAAGGACATCTCTTTATAGTGTTCTTTTTGTTTGACCATGCTTGTTTTGTGGGGATCGATCTGTCTATACAATTTTGTTTTTGTTTTCAAAGATGAAACCGTTTTAATCTTCTCATTTCAATTTTTTGATGGGTTCTTTCAAAATTCCAACTTTTCATCTGGTAGTGATCCATATTATTTTATTGTTTTCTAGATCTTGAAACTTGTGATTTTGTTTGCTAAACCATGAGCTCTCTCCTATAGAGAATTATGTATTCTGCTGGTGTTTATGTGTTAGATTTGTGCATTGTGAAAGAAATGATTCTTTTTTTGTTTTTTCATTTACTTTGTTCCTGTGTGAATTTGAGATTGGGATGCTGATTTGGTTCTTGCTTGTATTTGATGCATTAATGTATTGCTTTGATTGTGGCAGGGACAACAAGAGGATAGTTGTGGTTGTGTTTGTTGGTGAAGGAGGGGAGGGGGGACAAACAATGGCTGCACGCTACTGGTGCCATATGTGCTCTCAAATGGTAAATCCCATCATGGGAGTTGAGATCAAATGCCCTTTTTGCCAAAATGGTTTCATTGAAGATATGATTGATAGCACAGGGGATAATCAGGTCCCTGACTCTGAATTTGGATCTGATCGTGCCCTCTCCCTTTGGGCCCCAATCTTGCTTGGCATGGTGGGAAGTTCCCATCGTCGTAGAAGGCTTAGAAGGGTGGAATATGAAGAAGATGAGGACGGCAATGATGATGGTGAAGTAAACCATACAGGAGAGCCTGAATTTGAGCGTGAAATAGAATCATTCATGAGGAGGAGGAGGAGCAGAAGAAACTCGGCTACAATATTGCAATTGCTTCAAGGAATTCGTGCTGGAATTTTGGTATCTGAATCTGAGAACTTGGAAGGAGATAGGGATAGGGTTAGGGATATGGACAGGGAAAGAGAGCGTGTCATTTTGATCAATCCATTTAATCAAAGTATCATTTTTCAGGGTTCTTATGATTCAAACAATGTTCAAAACCAGAATCAAAATGCAATTGGGTCATTCGGTGATTATGTCATTGGACCTGGCTTGGATTTGTTATTGCAGCACTTGGCAGAGAATGATCCTAATAGATATGGAACTCCACCAGCTCAAAAGGAAGCCATTGAGGCATTGCCTACTGTAACTGTTAAGGAGCCTTTGCAGTGTTCGGTGTGCTTGGATGATTTTGAGATTGTTGCTGAGGCAAGGGAAATGCCATGTAAGCACAAGTTTCATAGTGGGTGTATATTGCCATGGCTGGAGCTTCATAGTTCCTGTCCAGTTTGCAGGCATCAGTTGCCTGCTGACGAGTCCAAGCTTGATTCTGAGAGATCTAGAAATACCCTTGATCAGAGGGACAGTGAAAGCACTAACAGTGAAAGTAATATTAGTAATGGAATTAATGTTCAAGAGGGACATGGGGAAGGAAGAAGTGGAAATGGGAGAAGGTTTTCCTTTCTATGGCCTTTCAATAGCTTGTTTTCATCTTCATCTGGTTCTCAATCTGGTGGAAGCCATCCATCCTCAACAGCATCCTCCTCAAATGCAGGAGGAAGTGCTTCTCAAACAGATGCGAATTGAGTTTGAGTATATTTTCTGAAGTCGCTATATTAGCTTCTTGTTGCTTGAATGTGCTGCCTGCTTATGTACATAGTATATTACTTACTGAAGATTGCATCTCAGACGAAGATATTGTGTTTTAATTACTCTGGTTTTTGTAGATGTTTTTTTTCTTGCCTTCATGGAGAATATATTTCTGTTGTTTCCCCTGGCTCTTCTATCTGTATATTATTTCCGAAACTACTTTGAATGGCTCAATAGTTGCACTGGCTTTCTTTTTCCCCATCTGAGTGAGGGGACTACTTTAATCGCATTCTTTAGCCCAATGAATGAATTGCTTAACGTCGAGGCTATTGCTGTTTGTTAATGTTGAAAGTGTAGTTTCTTCTTGCATGAATTGGTAGTCACGATAAGGAGGGAGCCATATGCTATAGACCAGGCTCTATGTAGACTATATTTGATATCAAAAACATCAATTTGTTCCGGTGTCCAGTACATCAAACGGGGTTAAAGACTTTATGAGATGGGCCATGTGGCTTCTGACTCGCATGAATGAATTAGAGCATCTCCAATGAGAAGGGTTAGAAATGCTATATTCAAGAGCTAAATAAATAAAATATTTTTAAAATAATATAAATATAATTTTTTTATTGTGTGTATTTCAATGATAAAAATCTATTTAGAAAAGCTAATTATATTTTAATATATTTCATGTTAAATCATGATGTTAATAATATAATTATATAACTAATTTAGATATTTTATATATAATATAATTATGATGTTATTAATTATATAATTAATATGAGTAATTTAAAAAAGTAATATAAAATTAATGAAGTAATATGAAAGTTAAAAGATATAATTAAAAATTAAATTTAAAATTTATTTATATAAATATTTTTAATTTTCAGTTTTATATGTTACTGTTAAAATTTTAATTTTTTAAAAGTAAATTGAAATTCAAGCTTTGAAAAAAACCACCAACATTTTAAATTTTGATTTTCAATTTTTTTAAAAAAAAATTCAAGCTTTGAAAAAATAACCGTCAATATTTTAAATTTTAAAATTTAAAATTGGCAAAAATTAACCGCTAATATTCTAAGATTTTAAAATTTTAAAAAATAATTCATCTATAAATATTCTCATATACCCTAATATTTTTTTCTCATCATTTTCTTCTCTCCAATCTTTGTTATATTTCATTAAAACTTATCATGAATCATTCTAATTTTATTTTTTATGATGCTTTTGATTTTAATGATGATACTCCTGTGTTTGTTTTTTAAGTTGCTACCTCTGTGGTTACTGAAGAAAAATCAAATAATCAAGGGTGGAAAACATGGTATCATGGCTCTATTCTTGGTCACAATATTGTCAATCGTAATAAAAAGAAAGGTGAATTAAGGTTATATAATGATTATTTTACTGAAAATCCTAAATTCATTAAAAGTCAATTTCAAAGAAGATTTAGGATAAATCGTCATCGTCTTTTTCTTCGGATTGTAAATGCAGTAGAAGCTTATAATCCATATTTCCAATAAAGGACAGATGCTATTGGTGTTCTTGGTTTATCTTGTCTTCAAAAGGTAACTGCAACTCACAGAATACTTGTATATAGTATTCTTGCAGATCTTGCTGATGAATATCTTTGAATTGGAGAAACCATTGCGATAGAAAGTCTTAGAGTTTTCGTCAAAGCAATCGTAGAAGATTTTGGTTATTGGTATCTAAGGACACCAAACGAGGACGATATTTATCGATTATTATCAATTAGAGAGAAACGTGGATTTCCAAGGATGTTAGGGAGCATTGACTGTATGCATTAAAAATGAGAGAAATGCCCAATTGCATGGCATAAGATGTATACTGGTCATTGTCGTGAACCGACTATAATTTTAAAGGCTGTGGCTTCACAAGATCTTTGGATATGGCATGCCTTTTTTGGAATGCCTGGATCATTAAATGATATTAATGTTCTTGATCGGTCACCTATCTTGACTGCATTTACTGAAGGTCAAACTGCTCCTGTTAATTATACAATTAATGAGCATAAATATACAATGAGATATTATTTAACAGATGAGATTTATCCTATTTGGTCAACCTTTGTTAAGACAATCTCAAAGCTATTAGGAGCAAAAAGAAAATAGTTTACAAGTAAGCAACAGTTTGCAAGAAAGGATGTGGAGCGAGCATTTAGGGTGCTCCTATCTCGTTTTGCAATTATATGTGGACTCGTTCGATACTAGAATGAAGAAACGCTTGCAAATATTATAAAAGCTTGCATAATAATGCATAATATAATTATTGAGGATGAAGGAACAATGAACCTTGAATTTGACCATGAACGTAAAGTCAATTCCTTTATATTAGTGTCACATGGTGAAATGCTAGAACTACATGATTTTCTTCAAACTCATAATTGAATTAGGGATAGAGTAACTAGCTCTCAACTACAAGAAGATTTAGTTGAATATTTGTAGGTAATATGGCAACGAGTAGAATCATTAGATTGTGGGTAATATGACAACGAGTAGAATCATTAGATTTGAACTTCTTATGTCATCATAAGTTTTAACTTTTTTATGTTTTTTTTCCATCATGGTTGTTATCTTTTAAGTTAATTAATTCTACTTATTATTGTTAAGTGTTAGAAAAACATCAAAAAAGTAATATGAATTGATACCACTTTTATAACAATATATTTAAAATAACTAAGAAATTTTTACATATTTAATTAAAAATAAATTACATTAAACAATAAATCAATCTAGTTAATTAAAAATTAAAACCCTTTTTTTGCTTAATTTTTTACTTTTTATTTTGAAAATACGTTCAAAAATTGGATCCAAATTAGAAATATTCATTTTCATAATTTGTTCTTCTTTTTCAATCCTGTCCGATCCTGTCCAATCCTTGTTTCTCTTGACTTTGTTGAATCATTATGGTTTTTTGCTCTAACATAGTTTTTTTGTCTTGTTTCTTCTGATCCTCAATTTCTATTAGAGTATTCTTGAATTGTTATAAGAGATTTGTTACAGTTACCTCCCCAACTTTATCTTTTTTTTTTATTTACGTTTAAGTTGTTTCTTTGTAACCTTCTGACCAATTAGTCTATCTTAATAAATCAATGGTTTACTGTCTTCTCCTAAACTAACAAAACTAGATGGAGCTGATGAAGTTGGACTTGCATTGACATAACCTTTTTGTTTCTTATTTAACCTTTGATGTTGACTTGTATGCTCAAAGTGTCATTTGGATTCTTTTCTTAAGATAATCTTACAATGTTCTTATTGAAATCATTTGTCAACGCAAGAAACATACAATTGTCGAGCATCATTAATCTGGTAAAAAATTAGAGAAATTAAATAATCTTAAAATATGTGTTAAATAATTTAATATGAAAATAAATATTAAGATTACCCTTGATTTTTCGGTCATTCCACTTTGCTAACGATTTTCAATTTGAGTAACAAATCCAACAAATTTACCAATTTCTCTATTTATTTCTTGCCATCTACTTGAGATGCTTACTTGGAAATGATTATACAAGTTTCCTCCATTCTCTACAAAGTAAGCATGTACTCGAATCAAGAACTGTTTTGTTTGTTGTTTAACTCTTATAATTGGATCCTTACTTGTATTTAGTCATGCAAAGACAAGTAAACAATCTTTCTCTAGTGAGAAATTTTTACTTCTTTGTAATTTTTTTACCGAATGGATATTTAAATTCGAGTATGTTAAGTCATCAATTAATTAATTAGAATCACATGGTTAAGAGAGAATATCTTCTGACTCACTCATAAGAAAATTGGTAAAAGAGCTTGGAAAATTTGAGTCCCTCTACATTAAAAAAAAAAAACTCAAGTTAAAACCTTATAAGAGAGTGTAAAAGAAATCATATTCAATGTATAATAATTTTGTAGTTTCCATACATATGAATTAATAATAAGCATTGCCTTCTACTTGTTCCAACATAACAATTTGATCATTTTTTGGAACTAAAGAGGATTGATATACTAGTTTAATTATATTTTCAACAATACTAAATATAATTGACCTCAAATTAAAATAGATAATAAAAAATAAATTTTAAATATGTCACTCTATATTTTTATCAATATCAACTACCTTTATTAATTCCTCTTAATTTTATCAAAGATAACAACATAAATAAAAATTATTTTTCTTAACCCACATCAAAAACATAAAATAATAAATAAATAAAAATTATCATAAATATCAAATTAACAATAAAAGGTCTAAACAATCAAGAGATATAAAAAAAATAGAAAAAGCTTTTAAACAAGTATACCTTTTAAATTCAGCTAATTAACATATTAATTAACTGAAAAATAATTAATTCTTGTTTTTTAAATTTAAGAGAAGGGTGAGACACAATACAAAATTTGCTAAATTTACAAGTTTTTTCCTCCTACTTTTAAAGGAAAAAAATAAATTGTCGGCCAATGACTATAAAAGTAGCCGTTAGCCAATAATTATTTACTTTTATTATTTTTGAAAAAAATATAAAAATATTTTTTTATCAGATAAATAGTTAAAACAACTATTTATTTGCTGATGATATTAAAATAAAATAGAAAAAGCAAAAACAAAAGCTAAAAATACATTTTTTTTTACATTTGCCGTTGGAGATGCTCTTACAAGCTTCCTGCAAGGCGTGTTGGTTTGATCACTTGTGTAATTATGTTGGACTTGACGAAATAGACAACAATTCCCCTACATTTTCTTAATAATAGAGGGCTGAGTGTGACTTGTTTAAGGTTTATATACGAATTACATCAATTTCAGCATTGCCTGGGCTGATTGTGATAAGCACGTAGTAATAAAGTAATGGGATGGATTGTCAGGCTGGAAAGATCGGGCCAAGACATGGAGTTGGTCAACCACTTCGATTACACGCTTGGACCATCTTCTTTTTTCGTACGTGAAACCCATGTGAATTGTCTTTCGCTGAATATTCTTATATTCTGTTTCCATGTAACTAAATGAACCTCTCCAGGATGCATAGAAAAATCTTCTTTCGGGGACGGATCCCAAAGCAAATTTGCAGTTAACTCTTGAAATATTCAGACACGCCAGCATGTCGGAATAACTTATGCCAAGATAGATACCAACTTATAGTTCAAACACTGAATAAAACAACAAAAACAAGGATTTCTTATGCTTGAAATGGATTCATGAACGTCCACGTACTTTAAGAGTTTGGAGGCAAGCTCCGCATGCCAACGGAGAACATACGACAAAACAATTTGGTTGCATGACAAAAATCAACAAGAAGGTTCTACAAGATCAAAATTACCAGCAACCAAATTGTTGTTCGACGATATAAGCTTCAAACCATGAGCTCGATAACAATGTAAATAATAACCAAAGTTTCTTTCGTTCCTAGAGAAAAGGTTAGTGGAAAAGGAAAGCAGAACGGAAATACTAGCAGTGTCTTTTCCTTCATTCTTATTCATGAGACCTCCCAAAAATGAAAGTAGAACAAAAGGTCAGTCTATTCAAACATCACTTCACATTTATGATCTTGATGACAGATGCAGTTCCAACCCGATGCAGAGCTACCACAGGATCCCCAGTCCTGCATAGACCCTTCCCCTTGGCATGTTGAAGGGCAAAATCCAAAGCTTCTTCAGTTGTCTCAGCATGTGAAGCTTTAGCAGATCCTGCATATAAAACTGGTACCAACCCGCGGAATATAAGGCTGTGCTTTGCGGGAGCTTCATCACTACATGTCCAATCAAAGGAATCGGTCTGAATCTCAGGGACGACAACGGACAAAATGGGCATGCCTGGTCTGTATTTGGCCACCAGTTTTGCAGTGCTTCCTCCCCTTGTTAAGACCAATATAAGAGATGCTTTTACTGAATTGGCTGTTCTAACAGCAGATGAGGCCAGACTCTCTAATGGGCTCATGGGCACTGGCGAGTGTTTCGTAGTTCTTTTAAAGACATCTCCATAATCCAGCGTGCTTTCAGCTTCTACGCATATTTTGGCCATGGTCTGAACAGCAAGTTCTGGATAAGCTCCAGCTGCCGTTTCACCACTCAGCATCACACAGTCAGTACCATCAAGAACTGCATTGGCAACATCAGTAGCTTCTGCTCTAGTTGGGCGGGGGGACTTGATCATGGACTCCAACATCTGTGTTGCAGTGACAACTGGTTTTCCTTGAATGTTGCACTTGTAGATCATCACTTTCTGTGCAAGGAAAATTTTTTCAATTGGGATTTCCATTCCAAGGTCACCACGTGCCACCATAAATGCATCTGAATTTGCTAAAATATCATCAAAGTTTGCCACTCCTTCTTGATTTTCAACCTACCAAAAAAGTTTCAAAGGAAAAATAGAATGACAACAAAACATCAGAAAGCAACCATATAAGCATCAAAGATAAGGTTGTTAATGATGCCACTCCATCAATTTGTAATGGCACTCTACATTAGCTAGCACTCTAGTATATTTTTACAACATCATGTGGAATGCTGTTCTAAACTGCTGGAGTGGCATTACATTGCCGTGTAAGTGTTTAAAACAATCCCTTTCCAGGCATTTGCGGAAAATTTAAAGGCAGATAATGACCTTTTCTACTGGTTCCTCGCATGGATTCCATCTCCAAGTACGATTAATATCAACCGATACAAACTCAAGCCAAGCAAAGTATCAAAAATTCACTTGAACGAATGTTTAATTGAATGCTTGGTTCTGATTACCAATAAAAGCAGGTAGAAGAGAAATTTTCCTAGGATCTAATGCAATCAACACACCTTTGACATGAGAAGGATGCTCTTAGCATGCTTTCCAAGCAACTTCCGGACCTCCAAAAGGTCTGAGCCTTTTCGAACAAAAGATAAAGCAATCATGTCAATTTTATTGGGAACTCCCCAACGCAATATATCTTCCTTGTCCTTCTCCGTTAAGGTTGGAAGATCCACTATAACTCCTGGGAGATTAACATTTTTCCTCTCACCAAGAACAGCAGAATTTTCACAGCGACATCGAACCAAACCAGCTACTGTGTCACACGACAATACTGTAAATGATATTGTTCCATCTGCACAAAGTATCACCATTCCAGTTTGCACGTCCTCGGCCAACTTTTTGTAGCTCATGCAAATCATATTCTCATCACCCTTCAAGCTATAGTCAGTTGATATGGTGATTTCTTGACCCTGTTTGAGCTGGATGGGTTTCCCATCTTTCAGGAACCCAGTACGAATCTCTGGTCCCTGGGAACAAAATGACAAAATAAGCGTCTTCTAGATCTATAAATCTTTATAAAGGAGACGACTTAAAACCCCTAAAATTTGACGCTAGAAATAGCCAGACCCTATTCGATGTATGAAGATTAAGAGAGAAATTTATTGCAGCGAAACTAAAGGCAAAGTAATATTTCCTTCGTGTTTTTGGTTTAACACTGAAATAAACAGGTACAAAAATGGTGTCCCAGCACAAGTTCTGAAAAACCAAAAACAGGAAAACAGATTTGAGCTCAGAAAAAGGAAAATTCCAAATCAAATGGACCGAAGCTCCGAACTTTGGCTTGCCCCAAAATCAGAAGAAAGAGAAAGTTACGAGTGGTGATATACGGTACAAAAGCCAAGAATATAACATGGAAGAAACAGACATTACAACCAACAAAAGGAAGGCAGGCATGCAAAACCTTATTGCAAGGAATCAAATAGACAATTAAACACAGCCTCCCAAGAAATCCAGATCAGAAAGGAAAACAATCATAAAATCAGTCTCAGACAAACAAAAAGATCCACTTTCAGGAATAAACAAAGATATCAGCAGAATCAGACAAGAAAAAAGTAATAAGGTACAAGAAATGAAGAACCAGATAGGAAAAAATAAAAAACTAAAGGGAAAGAAGAGAGAGAGAGGACCTTGGTGTCGAGCATGACAGCACAGAGAATGCCAGTATTGACCATGGCGGCCATAAGATTATCAAGGGTTTCTTGATGATAGTCATGAGATCCATGAGAGAAGTTGAAGCGAGCGACGTTCATGCCAGCCTTCAAGAGTTTCTCGATCACGGGGACAGATCTTGATGCGGGTCCCAGCGTACAAACAATCTTAGTATTTGGCCTCTTCTCCGTAACTCCTGCTGCTGCTGATGCCTCTGCTCCGTTGCTGATCATCATTTCTTTATCAGAAGGACAATGAAAAGGAGAAGAACAGAACTATATATAGGAAATGAAATACTTGATAAAATATTGATGGTTTTTCTTGTTATTATTATTGTTTATAAATGAAGAGATAAAAAACAAAAAAAGTAGCGCAACACTGCTACATGATATATATTTCTTGAGTAACAAGACACCACTTCCTTTCCTTTCATTTCTTTTCCTCGCTTCCTTCCTCACTGTTTGGTTTGGACTTTGGTAGAGCATTAGTTTGCCCTTTGTGAGGTCAGTCATGCTCTAAGAAGTTTCGGTAACCCATGAACAAAACCATCTCTGCTTCTGCCACCTTTCCCTCTCCCTTTTCCTTCGAATGATTCTCAAACAAATCATGTGTAAAACTAACACAATTTCAGTTTAATTAATCATCAATATATTCTTCAATCGAGTTTCTTTCATTTGTATTCTAGATGATACAGATCGCTTATTCATACTTATATTGGTTTATTATCGAAAAACACCAGATTTTTTATTACATTCAGACGTCTAAAATCATCCACTAGCATCGCCTTTTATATGATTGGATGAATTTTGGCACTCCACTTTTTATATGATTGGATGAATTTTGGCACTCCCATGACCCAGGAAAATAAAACTATTATAAAGAAAGAAATAAGCCGACAACAAAAATGTTTTCTACTACTGTCCATATTATTATTGTAGTGATAATCTAAACTTGGTTCAATACAGTGTTACAATATCAATCATATTATAATCAGTTCATCTTCCAGGACTTCGTCTCGAATGCTCCCATGCCTCAACCCAACCGTCACAATGAATTAGACATGTGACACTAAGGCATGCTCCAGAATAGAAAAAAAATCGTGAGCATCCTTATAATACTGCTCATAATTACTCAAACTACCAACGCGCAAATAACCTGGGTGACTTCCAAAATATTTCAAAATTCAATGGATGAGTTTTCAGGAGATCAATATCCGTGCAGTCAGCATCCTCTAGAATGTTTGCAGTAAGCTCATCCCGACAAGTTAAAGTTCATCATGGCTCTGTGGCTGTTCTTTGTTCATCAAATCTAGTTTATTTTCCAGCTCCTGTCACATTTCAGCATTCACCCAATTCATCAGAATGTTCAATGTAGAAAAGTAAGAGTTTCAATCTTAAATATATTAAATTACCTTGAGCTTTTCTTCTATGCAAAGAGCTGGGGTAGATAGCAATGCCACATACCTTGCATGACAAGCTTAATGAGATAGGGAGCAATAGAAAGCATGTGATCACACTCAAGAGAGACAGAAAGAGAGGTCCTTACTCGCAACGGCTTGGTTCATCTACATCTGTAACCTCATTTTTCAATCCACATCTTAGCCTGACCTGTAATAGGACATACAGAATTGCAGGTATTAAAACAAGGCAAGGAGTCTGTTTTTCATTGAATTCTATATCTATTTGCCTTGTAGCACTTATTTTTAGGTCAAAAGAAAATATTGACACCAGTATAAATGTGAATTTAATGAAATGGAAAAAACAAATTATCTTGCATGTTTCTTTCTGACACAAGTTCATATTAGTATCAGTTTCACTTTCAGTAACAGTTTTCTTGGCAATTAAAGATACCGAGAGAATAGAAAGGAAATAAAACATGAAGATATGAGATGAAATGAAGTAAAAAAATTTCTTCTTCAAAGTATCTTGGACTTATGCTCAACATGTTTGTAGAAATTGGATTGCTCATTTCCTTATTTTACTTACCATGGATGTTTTAAAAAAATCACAACTACTTATAACACAGAATTCTTCCAAAAAATTATTCATGACAGCATGAAATTGTTGGTACCTTCATACTTCTATCCGGTCCATTCCAGCACTTATCCCCATTTGAAAAGACCATAACTCGGTATGAATCCTCGAATTCATTCCAGCGCCTTACACCAAAAAAAAAAAAGCACAGAGAAAATTAAATACCAGGTTAGTTAATCAGTACCCGAAAGGACATTACTTGAAGCACCATTGTATTAATTGACAGCTAAGATGCTTACATTCATCTCTGACATGGATATCCAGGTTGAATGAAAGAATAAACAAAATGATCAAGATGCATGATGTGATTTCATATAGATGATCCCTTGATATATGCAAGAAGCGGGGAGAATGCTAGATAAAGAGCATAAAGAAAGTCATGGACACATTACCCCAAACGAGTTGTTGAGTGGCCCTCCAACTGAGAAGCTTCTTTGAAAGGGCAGACTTTGTAAACATACCTGGTGCGTGAATTTCAATTGCCAAAAGGTAAGATAAATCAGTGATCAGAATTGCAACTGTTATGAAAGATAAAAGGAATATAAACTAGCAGAAGTAAGGTTGCTAACTTGTTCTGTTTGCTCTCAAAACAGTGATCATAGAATGAATAGAACTCCATCTCTTTCCCTGTAATATTAACCTTTACAGTTAACTAACCAAAATCCGCTATCACCACCAAGAAGCATACACATACAGCTTGTCAGTACTAACCATAGTCGTGTTTTAGCTTTTTTGTCAAACTTGATATCCTTGACTGTATTTTAGACAACTTAGCACTGGACTCATCGTATTCCTTGCGTACACGAGCAGCCTCTATAGAAGTCAAAAGGTAACAGATGACATGATTTTCATGCATTCATTTCCAACATATAAATAGTAACAAAGTGTTTTCAAATTCACCTGATTTGTCCACTGGAGTTTGGAAGAATTTGAAAGCTTGTAGAATGCTCCTAAAGGTTTGCTGTATTTTCTCCAGCCAAGATGGATTACCTGGAGAGGTTGTATCTAACAACACAAGTATTAAATATTAGCTCATTAAACAAAAACAACTGAGCACAAAAGGTAGTAGCAACTAACAGTCGCAAACCTGAAAATTCAACTTCATCCTCAGCATCAGATTTATAAGAAGCAGTCACATCATCATGAACAGCCTCTTCATAAGTCTCATCTATATCATCTTCTACATCAGGATCATCATACTTGCCAGTGTCATCATCAGTTTCTGAAGCATAGCCATCATATTCCTCATCATGAGTGTCCTGGGCCATCTTTTCATTGTCTTCATGGTCATTGTCCATTGTATCACTAACTCCCTCAGTTTCTTTCTCAGGATTTCCTGTCCAGCGAGAACCAACAAGGCGGCCCAACTCTTCCTTTGACAACCCTTCAGCATCAGTGGATCCATCTTTCCCCTGAAGACAGCATTTAGAGCAACCACCAAAAATTGTCAGGATGATAAGCTTGGTGGAATTATGATAAACTAAGCAAATCATTTAAGATTTACAAAACATCAAGAAATTTTGAGAGAAGTTCCAAAATTTAAAATACAGAAAATGGAAAAGGCATCTCTAAAGGTACTGTGCAGCAAGCAATCTCAGCAATAAACTTAACTTCTTAAAAAATACCAGCAAGAAATCTACAAATATAATTCCATAATATATTAAAGAATTCTGAGTAAATAGAATATATGAGCTCCTTTTCTTTATAGTGACATCTCAAGCAAAACCACTCTGTCTTGATCATTTCATAAAGCATCAAGTGTGATTATTAGCAACCCATACAAGGAGCCCCACAATAGACATGATTGCATTTACAAAGTGAAACATCGACGACAAAAATACTAGCTTTGCTCGTGGCAAGTGACTGAGAGCTCCAGGTCTGATACCACCATGGCTGGCCCACACCCTATTGCAGTATGACAGGTGTCACCAAGATGCCGGTTTGACTACAAGACTACAATACCAACTACAGGTTGTATATTTTTAACTTTTATTTCAGACAACTTAAAGATCGATGTGCAAAACAAATCCCTGAAGAGGCTAATTCTATGGCGAACCCTCATTAGAACGAAATTGTGAGTTAGCCAGCCAAGTAGTGTACTAAACTCTAGGTTACATGATCAAATGAAGAGCTAAAGCTTAATAAATGAATTTCCAATTAACAAAATTTGGGAACATGATATGTATCACTAGAGTAACTTTCTTTTCCAATTATCGAGGGGCAAAAAACTCACGTCTTCCATAGGTTGATCATGAGACACCTCATTTCCAGCATCATGATTAATTTCATGCACATGTGTAGAGTCATCCTTATTTTTTGTTGATACAGACTCTTCATCCTCTTGTCCCTCATGCTATATTAACAAGGCATGGCACGTTATATTTTTGTCAGAGGCTAACTCGGCATGGCAGTAGAGCACCACTTTCAAGGAGTAAAAATTGTGTACAAATGCGTAGTATTTTTACCTGCTCCACTTTGTTAACTGGAGATCCTTCAATTTTGGAATCACCACTACTTTCATCTTCAGCTCCATGATCAGCATACTCGTCCACAACATCCTATTAGATGTTATGAAACTTAAACAGCATTAGCTAAAGCAATGAGTTATGCACTTATAATTTCCTTAAACCAAAGTGGGTATCTTTCAGCAAGCATTGTGTACATAGGGGATAGATACCTTACTCATTCAAACAAATGGAACCTACAAGGTTATTGGAGAAACCTCTTTACAGGAGTAAGAAGAAAACTATTCACTTTTCTGTCAAGTCATGCTTCAATATTTCAAGCTCACTTTCTAATTGATGTCTTCAGAAAAAAAATTCTAAAAAGCTTGTGAATTTAGAATTTCTGCATCAATATATGTAATGAACACGCAAATGCATAGAAAAAGTTTTGGATGCATCTTTCAAGTTTTATATGGGCTAATTTGGTCATTTTATCAACAGAGTAATCATGTTTGGAAAAGAATTGCTGAGCAGGTATGCAATGAGGATGTTTACTTGTTTCAGACAATCACATTCACTCCTATATGCCTTTAGAAGATGTTATAAAGCAAAGTACTTCTAAAAAACATTGAAAAATTACGAGAGTTTTCATGTGTGCACGCTCACTTATTGTTTAATGAATGATGAGCATTGAAATGGAACATTCAGTCAGACCTGATGTGCAGGAGAATCATCCAAAACACTGATTTCATCATGAGCAGTTTCCACATCTTTGTCTTCGTTGTCAATTTTCTCCTCAATCTGTCCTTCGTTAGCTTCCCTCTGAATGGCACTTTTCTCCCCAGAGGCCTTTTCTTCAGCTTCTTTCCTTTCTTTCTCTTCCTTTTCTTTCTGCAAACGTTCTCTCTCTTCTGCCTTCTCTATCTGTTCTTTAAGCTCTACATAGGGCAGTGAAGCAGAAGAACATTTACACAATAATTAGCCCGACGAGTGAACAAACAAACAGAAAAACACATATTTTGTAAGATATGTCAGTCTATGCTCAAATCTTTTTCTGGAAATACAAGTGATAATATTTCGCTATTGTAACAAGTATAACAGACTGATGTATGACAGCACAAAATAGAGAAAAAACTATACCTTTAAGCTGTTGAACGAGCCCTTTCAGCACTTTCTCCTCATTCTTTAGCTTGGATAGTTCAGCCTCGTCTTTGGCGATCGCCGCCTTTGCTTGTTCAACTTCTTTATTTCTCAAAGCAACCCCTTCCTTATACGTGGCAATCTTTTTCTTCAACTTATCTCTAGCCACTTTGCCAGCTTCCCAGCATGTATTTGGACACTTAACTTGGCCATCATACTCATCACTCCCATCACAACAATCTACATTATGTTATTAGGCAGTCAATACAAATTACAAGGAAGAGTAAAATAATAACAATACAAACACATATTGCTTATGTACTCACCGCAGATGCCGTCATTGACTCTTGAAGAAAATAAGAAAAGAGGAGCATGTCCAGCATTTCTACAATAGAATTTCCCACCAGGGCATGCCGATGTGCCTACAATCCATCCATCCATCCACCCACAAAATATACAGTCAAAACAAGTAAAGATATAATTTTTTTGTTGTTGTCCCCAAAAAGGGAGGGACTAGCATACGTAAGCAAAAAGAGAAACGTAAAAGGAAATAACAAGACGTGAAATATAGATGGAAAAAAGGGAGAAATGCAGAAAATGGATAAAAAGTAATCTAAGAGAGAGACCAGGCTCGTCGGTTGCATCAGAGCAATCACAGAAGTCATCGTTAAGCTGAGCTTTGGTGAAAGTAGCGGATCCATCTTTGCATTTTATAGTATTTGAAGATGTCTTGTAATAATTCTCATCTGGGCATCCAAAAAGATAACAAATTTTAGCAAACAAATCTAAAATCAAAACAAAAATCGAAAAAGAAAGAGAGATGAAGAGTGACCTTGAGGAGGGATTCCAAGAAGAGGGTTTTTAGGAACAACAGGTAATGCTGATGCTGATCCACACAGCACTCCAACAAAAACAGGAAAAATTAATAAGAAGAAGCAGAAGCTCCTCCTCTCTACTTCCATGACTCAGTGTGTCTCTGTGAGAGAGAAAATCAATCAATCAATCAATCAATTATTATTTATTTATTTGATTATTATTATTATTATTATTATTATAATATATATATATATAGAGAGAGAGAGAGAGCTCGATTCGAAAGGGAGGAGAGGGCGGTGGCAGGCAGGAGAGTGGGGGGAGGCGTTGCTGATGTCAATACGACGCTGTTTCCATTTATTTATTTTTTTCTTGTTTTTAGTGCTCTCCCTTAGCCTTTTGTTTTGAAAAGTTAATTAATTTTTATATTTAATATTAGAATGAAAATAAGTATTTACTGTATTATATATAAGTTGAAAAATAATTTTTTAATTTTATTTTTAATTAATTAAAAAATAAAAACAATTTTAATATATAAAAAAATTAGAGGATGAAATTAAAACAAATTTAATTTTATTAATTATTTAAAATAAAATAAATAATAATAAAAATAATAAAGATAAAATTTAAAAAGTTAAAAAATAATTAAATTAAAAAATATATAATTGTATAAATTATTTCAAATAAAAATAGATAGAGATCAAATATAATAAATAAAAAATTTATATGAAAAAAAAGATATAGTTAATATAAAAATAAAATTGAATCAAATTTTAAAAGATAAAATTAAAATATATATATATAAAAAAAATTAAAAATAAATTTTATATAATTATCATATAATAAAAAATTTTAATTTTTTATAATTTTTAAAAAATATTTTTTGTATAAAATAAAATGAAATTTCTTTTTAGAAATTAATCCAAAACTTTTTTATTAAAATTTTTTTTATTTAATTTTTTTAATAATAAATAAATATAAAATAAAAACTAAAAATAATTTTTAAGAAAATACTTTCAGTAACGATGGCAGTATTTCTGTCGGCCTCTATTCTCCTCTCCCGATGAAAAATAAAATAAAAACAAAAACGACGTAACATTGGGCTGAACCTACACCTTCGCCTATACCTACACACGCTGCTACGAGTGCAAGAAGGAAGCGAAAGATAATATTTTTATCCATCCATCCATTTATTGAGTCGCAGTGAGAAGCAAGAATGGAGGGAAGCTCACTTTTATCGAACTGTTCGAAAACCCCTTTCAATTTCTTCAGAAACCCTTCTTTCCCATCTTCTTCTCACCACTGTTACTCTACTGTTACTACCCAGTCCCATATTGTGAGCTTTAGTTTCTTTAAACCCAACAGAAACCAGGAGATGAAGAAGAACAGGTCCCGCAAAAAAAATTTGATGGCAAGCTCTCTTCGAACTTCGGCTTTTGTTGTCGACAAAGCCTTGGACGATTCTTCTCCAACCAATTATAAAGAAATGATGCCAAAGATTGATAAGAGTGGAAGGTTTTGCAGCCCAAGAGCCGCCCGGGAGCTCGCTTTGTAGTTCCTCTCTCTCTCTCTCTTCTTCTTTTTGTTTTTCTTAATAAATACCAAAAATATTATATATAATTTCTGGGTTTAGGATTTTACATCTTTGCTTTTCCAAATTTCACAACTTTAAGTCAGCTGATGCTCAATACTTCTGCTTCACGTATTTGGTTTAGTCTCAAATTCTCAATCTTTTCCTCCCCTTTTCTTTCTAAATAGAAACTTTTAATGTTCATTGTTGCTTGTTTCCTTTTACTTTTCAATTTAAGAAAATGAAAATTCTTAATGGTTTTTGTTGGTGGTGCACAAGATTGATCATTTATGCTGCGTGCTTAGAAGGGTCTGACCCAATTCGGCTATTTGAGAAAAGAATGAATGCAAGAAGAGGTATTCAGTGATTCCCTTTACTTAACATTACAGCAATTTTTGATAGTTTATATCATATTTGCTCTTTAAACACATCTGGTTGATGGTTATGTGATTGGCTAGTTTGCAATTCTTGCATTCAGAACCTGGTTATGAATTCGACAAGTCATCTTTGTTGGAGTATAATCACATGAGCTTTGGGGGACCACCTGTAACAACTGAGACTGTTGAAGAAGCTGATGAGCTTCAGCTTAGCGATGAGAAAGAGTCTGCAATTGGTAATTAGGCTTCTTCTTTTTATGGTCACTCGCCTAGCTATAGCATTTTGCTTTTGATGAATGCGATTTCTTCTAAGCTTTCCAGCTCTAGTTTTTTTTTTTTTTTTTTTTTTTTTTTTTTGTTTCCTAATGTCTCTTTCAGAGCACACATTTTTCAGGCCATTTTTATCACATCGAATGGCCTACAGTACCATTTTTATTAATTTTATGTGTTTTTAGAGAGTGTAGTGGAACTATTATTTACTATCCATAGATTTTAGAATCTGCAACCGCAGACAAAAAATTTAATTTATATGGTCTCCCCGTACTGTCAATCTGCACCATTTTTTTCTTCAGGGGAATTACTTATGCCACCAGATTTAGTTCTAAAACATTTCATCCATGTTCATTTTCCCTTTTGTCACTTCTCTTTGGATGTCTGAATCAATCGTGCACTTTGTATTTCAGAAGTCTCTTTGAATGTCTGAATCAATCGTGCTCTTTGTATTTCAGAAGCCGAAGTCCTTTCAGCTCCTCCGAAGTTGGTATACAGCAAACTGCTTTTGCGGTAAACCTTCTGGATATATCTTGATCGTTGATTGCGTAGCTAGAGCAGTTGAATACAGTGAAAGAGGCAGTGGGATTAAATTGTCTTTCTGATTGCTTTTCTGTGCCTTTTGTGGCAGTTTCACAAGGAAGCTTTTGGTAGCTGTGGTGGATAAGTGGGACAGCCATGTCCTTGTAATAGACAAAGTCTCCCCGCCAAATTGGAAGGTCTGGATTCGAGCTTTGACAGAATGAAATGCTTGATTTTCAAGTTTGCTGCTAGCTTTATTTTTGTCTTTTAACACCTTTTTTTTAAGTGTCACCACCTCACAGGTAGTTTTCTTTCTAGGTGCTTGAAGGTTGTGTTTGAAAGATTGAAATTGGTTTTCGATTTGAATGCCTCTTAATAGAGATTTGCCTCTCTTTGAATAGTTAGATAATTAGGTTTGCCTAATTATTAATTACATACATGATTTTCTCTGTCAAATCTTTCGAAATCCCTAACATTGCTCTACGAACCACAAAGATCCTAGAAATATAAATTATTACTATATATAAAATATTGTCTAATCTGGTAGCATCCACCCTCAAATTGATGGTAGTCGGTCAAGAAGCATCAATTTGTCAATCATGAATTTATGGCGGTGAAGAGAGAGAGCCTTGGTAAGGATGTCAGCAGTTTGATGTTCGGTGGAAATGTGAGGAAGAGCAATCTCCTGATGAAAAAATGTTTCACGGGAATCCACCTCAATATACTTGGTGTGCTTATGGAAAATAGGATTGGCAGCAATTTTAATAGCATTGATGTTATCAACATAAAGAGGAGTTGGAGTAAGCTGTGGAACACGAAGTTCACCTAATAGCCCTTGAAGCCATGTAATTTCAGAATAGTTAGATGACATAGCTCTATATTCAGACTTGGTAGATGACTTTGAGAGTGCTTTCTTTTTACTCTTTCAAGAAATAAGAGAACTGCCAAGAAACATGCACCAACCCGAAACAGAACGACAAGTATTTCGACAACCAGCCCAATCAGCATCACTATAAGCCTCCAATTGTAAAGAAGTCCTTAAAGAAAAGAACAAACCATGACCAAATGTCCCTTTAAGACATCAAAGGAGACGACGGACAACGGCTAAATGGGTTTGGCAAGGGGCCTCCATAAATTGACTAACTTGTTGTACAACAAACGAGAGATCAGGTAGGGTAATAGTCAAATAATTCAAACTTCCTACCAGCTGTCGATACATGGAGGGATCAGGCAATAGATCACCATTCTTATGATGTAGCTTCAAGCTGACCTCCATAGGTGTAAGAACTGAGTTAGCATCTAAAAGTTCAGTTAAGGAAAGAAGCTCCTGGGTATACTTATGTTGATGTAAAAGTATGTCAATTGGACAATGTTGGACCTCAAGACCAAGAAAATACTATAGCGGACCAAGATCTTTCATATGAAAGGAAGATTTGAGTTGTTGCTGAAGCTGCTCAATCAACTGGGAATTAGATCCTATAATCACAATATCATTGACATACACAAGAACTAGAATGATCCCAATATCAGTCTTGCGAAAGAAGAGAGAGTAGAAAGAGGATTAGATATTGTAAAACAGGATCAGATGTTGGTTCAGGAGTAGAAATAGGCAGTGGGTGACTTCGTTGATAGACAATTCCTAGCTTAAAATGATTAATAGTAGTAGACACATCATCAAAAGAAGTAAGCAACACAGAAGAAGAAACAGAATTGCCATGAGACAGAAAAAAATATTGATTTTCAAAGAAAACCACATTTCATGAAATGTGAATCTTGTTATTATCTGCATCATAACATAAAAATCCTTTATGAGAATTACTATAGCCTAGAAAAGCATATTGAATAGCTTGAGTAGCAAGATTGTGGTGAACAAAGCAAATTCAACCAAAAACATGAATAGAATTATAGTCCGAAGGGACTTTAAACAAACAAAAATATGGAGAATCAAGATTCAAGGTTTGAGAAGGCAGACAATTAATCAAATAGACAGCTGTAGATAAAGCTTCTACCTAAAATCGAGGAGGTATAAAAGATTCAAGCAGTAAGGTACGAACAACTTCTAAAAGATGTCGATTCTTACGCTCGGCGACTCCATTCTGTTGAGGAGTGTAAGTACACAAATGTTGAGAGATAATATCCTTTTGCTGTAGGAAGAATTGAAAGTCACGAGACCTGTATTCTCCTTTAGAGTCAGAACGTAAGATCTTAATTTTGGTAGAAAATCGTCTATATAAAAGCAACAAAGGTTTGGAAAATAGAAAACATATCAGTTTTAGAATGAAGGAAATAGACCCAGGTGAATCAACTATAGTCATCAATTATTGTTACAAAATATCTATACCACGCATGGGAAAGAACAAGACTCATACCCTAAACATCTGAATGAATAATTTCAAAACAAGCAGAAGCCTGACTTCCTTGCATAGGAAATGATAAGGATTTGTTTTTACCAAGTTTACAAGAAGCACAATCAAAAGCCAAATAGGAGGAAAACTCATATATATTATTCAAATAGCCATTTTTAACAAGATGTTTCAAAATAACAGAATTAGGACGTCCTAGTTTTTTATGCCAAAGATGAACAACCCAAAGATACTGAATGAGGTATAGAAAAAGATTAAAGAGGAAAAAGACGTTCCACTTTAGGCCCCGTTGCTACTACCTGTCCCGATATCTGATCCTGCACATGACAACCATGATGGTCAAAATGAAGGGAATAATCATTTTCTACCAATTGGCCAACAGAGATTAAATTGGCAGATAAGTCGGGAGACACAAAAACATTGGTAAAGGCAGACAGGGAATAATCATTTTCTACCAATTGGCCAACAGAGCTTATGTTGACAGATAAGTCGGGAGACGCAAAAACATTGGTAAAGGCAGCCCCTATATTGCCTATGGCAGTAATAGGAATAGTACAGCCATCAACTATTTGAATATTCTGCTCACCATCATTCTTACAAACATTCTAACATTCTGTAGTGCTTTAGAATTGTCAATCATGTGATTGGAATCCACAGAATCAATTAACCAAGAAGAGTGGAGTAATTGTGTCTTACCTTGAAGTCCAAGAGTAGATAGAGTAGAAACTATCATATGTTAGACATGCTCTGGTGTAAAAGCAGAAGAAGACCCCGGGACAACTGGTTGATTTAGAGGCGTGGTTGCAAGGTTAAACTGATCGACAATAAACAAGGCATGGGCATATCGATTCTAAGGTCATATGTGACAATTCTTAATAATGTGACCTTTCTTGCAGTAACTGTAAAACTTTTTACTGCAATTCTTTGTTATATGCCTAAACTCCTTACAACTCTTTTTACTGCAATTCTTTGTTATATGCCTAAACTCCTTACAACTCTTTTTACTGCAATTCTTTGTTATATGCCTAAACTCCTTACAACTCTTTTTACTGCAATTCTTTGTTATATGCCTAAACTCCTTACAACTGTAGCATTGTGGCGAGGATTTGAATCTACCTTTTCCTTGAGCTGCATAGGCCATATTGAATATCTTAATACTGACAGTGTCTTGGGCAATGCCATGTTGTGGGGCAAGACATTCCTCATGCGGAAGCTCTCCCAGGCACTCATCTAAGGTTGGAACGGTTTTGTGGTTAATCAACCCAATGCATACACTCTCAAATTTTGGATGAAGCTTCATTAAGAATTGGTCTTGTTTGCTCTCATTATGGACTGCTTGTACTGCTCCCAATGCTTCCTTTGGAACCTTAGATTGCACCAACTCAGAATAATCACTCCATAAATTTAGGAAACCCGAATAATACTGCTTAATTGTTTGATTCCCTTGGTGATAATTTTCATTGTCCAACTCTAATTAGAACTTTCGAGCAGAGTTATCTTGATGATATATTCGCTGAAGTAAATCCCACATTTCCTTAGCTGTATTGAAGGAACGAAGATTGTTGACCATATGAGGTTCAATAGAACTGAACAACCATGAAACAACCTTGGCATCCTTGCTTTTCCAAGATCCCTATTCTATGGGATCAGCTGGAACCATAGAGGATCCATCCAAATGATTCCATAGTTATTTTCCTTTAACAAACATTCGAAACTGAAATTCCCAAGAAGAGTAATTCTTGCCATTTGTTCTCTCATCTGACATGACTAGAAAACCACAACAGCTTTAAAAAAATAGACAAGATTAATGAAAACATTAATGCCACAAAACAAGGTGCTAATACAATTCAGCCCAAGCTGAAGAACCTCTAAAAAAATGAACTGAATCAGTCCACAAACTAAGATGAGAATTTCTCACAACTCTAGAAATTTAAGTTAGGAGCTCTGATACCATGTTAGAAAGATTGAAATTGGTTTTTGGTTTGAATGCCCCTCAATGGAGGTTTGCTTCTTTTTAAATAGTTAGAATTCCCTCTATTTACAGCCTAATTATTAATTACATGCATGATTTTCTCAATCAAATCATTTAAAATCCCTAACATTGCTCTACCAACCACGAAGATCTTGTAAATATTAATTATTGTTATATATAAAATATTGCCTAATCTGGTAACATGTTTTTTAATTTGATTGCTGTTAAACTCGCATGTTAAATAGTACATGACTTCTATGTGCGTGGTGGTCAGCTGGAAACCGTATGCTGTCAAATACTTTGAATGAAATGCAGATTTTAAATATATAGTAAATGGTATATGTTTCTGTAGAACACTTGGTGAAGTCTGACTTTGATTCTAATCTGTCCTTCCTACCGCACCCCACTTCGTATTGAGTGTCTAATTGGTCCACAAATTTATACCAACCACAGGTTAGATTGCCATTGGCTGGGGAGAGAGCAACCCTTGAGTATTGATAGGATATTTTTGGATATTATTTGTGAGGAAGATGAAATATTTGCAGCACTTGTTGACGTTGTTGAAATTGAAATGATTATCCAGTTTCATGGTTGTGTACATGTGAACTCATGGGCTTGGACATTTTATCATACCACAAAGTTACATGGAGTTTCATTGTTTTTCCTCTAATCCATGAATATCACACAAGTTCACTTCTCTCATGCCTCAGAATGAGCCAGCGGGAAGAATTTTGGAGTTCTGTATCCTCCACATGGCAATGTCTGAGATTACTGTTCTTGGCACACGGCACCAGATTGTGATTAATGAGGTAGCTTTTATCTTCCCTATACAAGCTAGTGTCATTAGCTTCCTCTTCTTGCACCTCCATGCCATTAATCTGATCTTCCACTATGTTTGGCTGTGGATGAAGGCTGTAGATCTTGCAAAGCGATTCTGTGATGGTGCAGGACCGCGCATTATTAACGGGTGCCTTAGGACTTTCTTGAAAGATCTCCCAGGAGCCAGTGTGGCCCAAACTTCAGATGCTAATGAGAAAGTAGAAGTATGAAGTGAAACGATCCAAGTGACTGTCTGCTCAGGCGGTCAGGGATCCGAGAAGAAAAATTCAGCAGAAGAACCTCAGTTTGAAGAATGCTCTGAATGATGGAGATCGATTTTAAAAAAACTTTGTTGTCAGAAGAGCTGCATTGGTTGGTATCTTCTTTTAAGATGGAAATTCCCATAATCCTTCGATCGATAGAGTGCATATTTATGCTATGTTTGCTGCCCTGCGCAAACGAAAAGGCACTTGTGGTGAATGACACCGCAGAGTAGAAGGTTCATATTGTTGTATATGATTTATCTCGCAAGTTGTAATGTTACATGGATATGTTGAGATGCTGACTAAAATTTTGAGATATGATTATTATAAGGACAAAATAGAAGCTAATTATTTATCTGACATTCATATGGCTTTCATAAGAGTACTGGTGGTGGGTGTTTACGTGTATGTGCATTTTAGAAGTGCAATTGGAAGCAGGCACTACCATGAAGTATCGTCTCCATCCTTGTCCTCACAACTGTAGTATTATCATTGCTGGTTTAAGAGTACAGTCATCGTACTATTTTTGTGTCAATTGCTATTATTAATGAATTATCAAAATCAATGGAATGGAATGGAATGGGGAAGTTACTGTTTTGACTATTTATTATGTTGTTCAGCATAATTAAATAAATTATTGCTTCAAGAGAATCGGATTCTATGTGTTTATTAGTTGCCGCTAATCAATCAATCAATCCCCTTGGTTTTGGACTTGGACTTGGCCTTGAGTTGTTGGATTCCGGGGTACAACAATACACATCGACAAACATTAAGCAGCTCATCCTGTCCTCTTCACCAATCGCCACTAGTAATTTACTGTTGCTTTGATCGCATCCACTATCTGCATACAAACACCACTAACATATTACCCATTTGCCATCCAATGTTAGGTTTCCATAACATGAATTTACCTTGTTCTTGGTCGGTACATAAAAGGGTTCAAAAACAAGAGGAAAGGGTGTATCCAGCCCGCAAATTCTGGCTACTGGGGCTTCTAACTGCAAAACACATCCACCTATTTTTAGCAATAAGTTGATATGTAAGGAATAGATGCATTACCCTTTCACCAATCTACGGCACCTTTAGCAACATATCTTGTGTAAATCAATGGCATCTCCTTCTTGCAGCATATAGAAATTTTATTTTTCTTTTAATAATGTTCAATTTACACAGGAATGATAAATGAAAGACTTGACTCTAAGATATGATGCGAAGAAAATGATAAGAGGAGTGCTTAACTCAAATACTTGTGCCAATACAAGAAAATACAAATTTGTAAATGCTAATGCTTACCCTTAGGAAGCAACGTTCAACGATAGACGCAGAAATTTCAGCACCAAAACCTCCAGTAACTGGAGCTTCATGACTTATCTACAATGCAACAACAGAGTTACCACCTAGTTTTCCACTAAACATCCTTTCTTTGCCTATCTCAGGGACCACAGTTTGTAATGCTTACAAGGAGCCTTCCAGTCTTTCTCACAGATGCTTCTACTGTTTCTTTGTCCCAGGGTATTAGAGTTTTGAGATCTATCAGTTCACAAGAAATTCCCTCCTGCAAAATATAATGCATTAAACTCCCTGTTTAAAAGTTTGTAGCATATAAATAAATCAAAATTTCTTCTTAGAGGGGCAAAGTCACAAATGAAGTACAGAGAAGTTACCATTTGGTAAATTTTCTGGTGCTTGGTGAATAATTCTATATTAAGTATGCTTAATGGACATGTTCGGTACAGGTCACACTATTTATTACATGACAAGGAACTATTGCAACTACAGTTACCTTCTCGGCATCAAAACAGGCCTGCTCCATAATAGACAGCTGTGCTCCCCAACCAACTAGTGTTATGTCACTGCCCTCTCGGATCACCTAAGTATTTATCAAATTAGTGACTTTCTTCAGATTTAGAATTCTGAACTCTACAAAGAAAAGCTAAGAATAGCTTGCCTCTGCCTCTGACAAAGGCAACATATAATCATTATCAGGAACCTCTTCTACTGCCAAACGATAAAGCCACTGCAAATCCAAGGCATTTGTATTGATGTCAATCCCAGAATGAACCATTTGATAAATTTATGGTCATATTATTTATTTAATATGAGGACAAAGAGCAGGTGCCTTTGGTTCAAAAAAGATAACAGGGTTTGCATCACGTATGCATGACAGTAATAATCCTTTTGCTTCTCTTGGACTTCGTGGAACAACCACCTGTCAAAGAGCTACTGGTTAGATTTATCAGAAAACATGTGTGAATCCCATAAATGGAGCTGGAAAGAATTCAAAGAAATATGACTGCCTTGCTACCAAGCCTTATTAACCCAAACGGAGCTCATGTGATTCAAACTTGATTTATCAGATGATGTATGAAAAAATATAGGGAGAAAGAAAACGTTCTTTAAATTCTATAAACAATAAATGGCATGACAGGACAGAAACAACCACCATTGTCCCACTTTAGGAAGTACTGTGGCTTACCTGAGTCAGTCTATGGTGGTGGATGACATGGGAAATGTTTTGCTTCACGAGAGTTCCATGGAGTTTCAATGTTAAGCATATCTAAGTAAAGCTTTCACTTTCTGGACAAGAGAACTGGATAACTATAGCTATGAAACTGATAAAGCAAAACAACCACTTTCTGCGTCATTGAACATTTGTTTCACACATTGCCATGTATTTTCATGTCTCGAAAAGAATGCCTTGGAACAGAAACTAGTATGGTATTCATGAAGAAAAATATGCGACATTTCCACATAATACACAGGCAATCAATTAGTAGGAGGCGTTGCTCCTAAAACACTCCAAGCTTTCCCAAGGGAAAAATAAATTAAGAACATGGAATAAGGAGACATACTTTGATACCAGGAACATGACAAAAGAAAGCTTCAGGGGATTGAGAGTGATAATGTCCACCATGGCCCACAGCTCCATATGGTGTTCTTATGGTTAAACCTGTGGAATAACATTAAATCCCATCATAAAAGTACAAATGAGTAATGGAGAGTGAATCAGTGGTTAAATAGCAATTCCATTATCCAATGAAACAAAAACCAAATTCACCTCCACAATTAAATTGATTCCCACTCCGATATCTGAACTTTGCAGCCTCATTAACAATCTAAAAGTAAAATTAGTGTCAACTAGAGGGAACTGAGAGGTAAGAATGAAGCTTGGAATTGGGAAGGATGCTTACCTGATCAAAAGCAGGAAAGATATAATCCGCAAACTGAATTTCTGCTATAGCACGATTATCCTATTAGATGAGATGAAAATAAGTAATTATCAGATGAGAAATGAATCAAAAGCTTATGCAAGCTCCGCAACAAATATGAAAACTAACCATTGCTGCCAGGCCTATGCCAAACCCAACAATGCCCTGCAAGTAGTTTATTTCAGTAACAGCGTTAGTTATAAAAGAAGGAAAGTGGGACAATGAACCGAGAATCAGAACAAGAAGATCAATATTCAATATTAAGTAGGTCCAACTGAGGGATACCCTTTGGCAGGTAGATTATCATTAACAGTCAACTTAACTTCATCGAAGCCAGTATCAGTAGAGAAAAGATTTTCCACGAAGAAATTCTATAATATTATTTCAACAAGAGTAGAATAGCGATAGAACGAAACAGAGAGGTACCTGTTCACAAAGAGGGGTATTGAAAACTCGTTTTTTACCAAATTTTTCAGCTAGTCCTGTTGTGCATCGAAATACCCCACCAAAGCTCACATCTTCCCCAAACACATACGAGCTGGAATACAGTAGAAGATCTAAATAATTACTACATAATTTAATCTAATACTACTCCCTAAACACAAAACTCAAAGTTTCACTCTTGAAGAAATGGATAAGCAGTTTGACCCAGAAAAACTCGAAAGTGAAAAGGATGTAAACTTTGACTGGGAATCAAAGTTTAGAAACCAAATAGAAAGAGAAAAATGAAATGGGTATTGCTAGAAACGTACCGAGGGTCGGTTTCTAATGCGATATGGAGAGCTTGATTGATGGCAGAGCAAAGATTCAATGATTTCCCAGTTTCTTGTAGTTGCTCATGTTGTTGTTGAATAACCTTGTTGCCTTGACAAGTGGTTGAGAATTCCCTGTTATTGAAGACAGAAGAAACCAATCTTCTTCCACATCTCCTCAAACTAGTTGCCATAACCATTTCTAGTAATATTTTGCAGGCACCAAAGGTTCCAATTCAATTCAACCCCAGAAAGAAAGACACCTCCTTTGCCTCTCTTTTTTGTTTTTCTTTCTTGAAAAAACTCACTAGCTACTTTGGAAGTAAAATTTATTGGAATTGATAAGAGGGAGGGTGCAGATGGTAAAGAGTTAATGAGAATCAAGTCCAGAGTTGCACGTTAAACAGGCAAACCGGCATGGCATCTATGTGTAATACATGTGGCGAGAGTATCTCTCCTGCCTTCTATCATCCCTAGTTGTCCGTTCACTATTTACAAGGAAAAAAAAATACTTAAATAGTTTTTTATTGTGCTTCAAGACGATATGTGCTCTTGAGAATATTATCTAGATACGGGTCGCGGTCCGTACCATCTGTTTTTTGGTATTTTAAAAAAAATAAGTTTATTTAAAAAAATTAATTACTATTTTGTTATATTTTTTATCATAATAATGTGTTTATGTTAAAACAATTAAAAAAATTATTTTAGTATATTTTAGAAATAAAAATATTTTTAAAAAGTACCCTGCACCATAATATAAAACATGCATTTAAAAAGTCTATTTTTTTTCTTTATTATGGTGTTGTGGTTTGCATTTTACTCCAATAAAATATTTGAAAATAATTATTTAATTAATATATATATCATAGATTTGTCTTAAGCTTTTTCTTGAAATCTTATTTAAGAAAAAGTTATAATTCATATCGTATTTTTAGTGCCTTCCTGCATTGCATCGTAGCTTCTACTTTTTAAATTGATTATTATTTTTATATTTTTTATGGTTTTAATATGCAAATATAAAAATAAAATAATATAATATAAAAAAAATATTTTAATACATTTAATTGAAAAGAATTATATATCACTTACACTATTTTTTCAAACCACAATATTCAAAGTTATCCTAATATCAAAACATATAATTAGATGTCATTTAATATTAAAATTAAGTTTTTTTAAATATTATTAAATAATTTTAATAAAAAATTATAAAATCATTAAAAATCAATGAATATCTAAAATAAAATATTAATTTAATATTTTTTAGACATAATGATCCTTGTTGATTTGATAAAAGATGTGGAAATGCCAACTATTATTATCCCTCTTAATTAAATTTCTAATTAATTACTACAATTATGACATATTAATCATATTTTAAAGATAAGAGGAAAATATTGTAGTTTTTTATGTTTTTTATTTTCATTGTAATAATTTTTTCATTTTGTTTTTATTTTTTTACATGTTTGTTTTTTTCCCATGATTTACTTCTTTTAAAAAAAAATTATATTTTTTTCAAAATTATTTTTACTGATTTTTTTCTAATATTAAACTGGTTGAAAATTTAGTTTTATCATTTAAAAAAAACATTATGAATTGCTACAATATTTTTCTATATGATTTTTTTTCTTTCTTTTTATAATTTTTTTCCCAAGATGAATTTTTTCGAGTTTTTTCATATTAAACTGGTTGAGAATTTAACTTTGTAGTTTTTTTATTAAAAAAACATTGTAGAATTACAATAGTATTTCCCCCATGTGATTTTTTTTGCTGTAATATTTTTTCACATATGTTTTTGAAAATTCTCTTTCTTGAATTTATTTTTTTAATATTGAGCTGGTCGAGAATTTAATTTTATATATTTAAAAAACAAAACACTATTAATTGCTACAATATTTTTCCCATAAGATTTTTTTTGTTTTCTTTATATTTTTTTTCAGAGTTTTCTTTCTTAGTTTTAGTTTATATATATATTGAGATAATTGATAATTTAGCTTTGTAGGTTTTTTTTTAAAACATCATTGATTGCTAAAATATTTTTTCATATAATTTTTTTATTATAATTTTTTTAAATTAAATTCATTGATTTTATTATTTTTAATATTAAACCTGTTAAAAATTACAACTGTATATCTCATTATAAAATACTATAGATTGTTACAGTGTTTTTCTACATGATTTTTTTATTTTATTTGTTATGATTTTTATCAAAATTATCTTTATTTATTTTATTTTTTTAATATTACGCTGGTTAAGAATTTAGTTTTATAGTTTAATTCGTTGGTTAAGAATTTAGTTTTATAGTTTAATTTTTTTAAAAAAATATTAAAGATTATAATAATATTTTTTATATATAATTTTTTAAAAATATTTTTTATAGTTTTTTTTATAAATTTATAATTTATAAATATATTATAAATCCACAACATGGCGCGGAAATAAAAACTAGTATGACATTAAAAAAAAAAAAAAAAAAAACTAGTATGACATTAAAGCTTGAGGACCACAAACTACTGGGATGTACAAATATTTAAATGAAAACAGGCATGAGACAGCTGGCAGGGATTGAACTTTTATCATCAAAAGACAGTTGTCTAATTAAAGGTTGGCTTGAAGAATTTAATTTGGATAAAATCTTAAATTAAATTATAATAAACACTGATAATGTGAAATATGACCAAGTTTTGAAAACTTCATTTACCTATTCAAATCTAATGAGTTAATATTAAAGAATTAACCGGATAAAATAAAATCATTTTAACCAGAATAATTAATTAAGGACAGTGTCCCCTGTAATTAAAGAAAACACGACGTGGTTGTGCGGTAATTAATGTTTTTTAAAATAGTTTTTAATTAAGTTATTTGTGTATTTGATAATACGGTGAATGTTTTGTAAGAGTATTTTTTTAATTAAAAATATATTATTTTAATAATTCTTTAATTTTTTAATATTAACATCCCAAGACCATTAAAATAAAAACAACAGTTAAGAATAAGAGTTTAATATTTTTTAAACATAAAATAACTTAAAAAAAAAAACTATCACAGCCACCGATAAATCACAACCGCGTAGATAAATAAATAAATATATATTCCCAAGATATTAATCGGAGGGACGTCATTTCCATTAGCTGTCAGGTCCCCCACCAAAAGCCAAGTCACTTTTGGGAGCACGCCTGCATATTTTCCTAGCAACTCTACAGCATCCATTGTTCTAGCTAGCTAGGCTGCATGCCCTTCCAACTTCTGGCAATTCTTTCCATCATATCTAGTGTCACGTGGTCAATTTTTCGCTCTCGAAAACAGACCTCGCGCGACAGTCTAGTCCCGCTAGACTCAGCCTTTCCTTTATTGATTCACTCGTATTTTACCTATGACTAGTTTGTCCTACAAACCCAAGAGATCCCCACACTCTTTCAATGTCCCAAGCAAGCGGAATAACACTAATGAATATGAACAGAATTCAAAACACACCAGATTACAGGAACAAGTCCCAACATTTTCATTAACTCAATTAAAGGATTACACAAAGTCCATCTTGTGTGCTATCCCCATCTCCATTCTGCATGCTACACATTTTACAGCCTATCTAATTACAAGATAATGAAAGTTACAAGTATAAACTGTCTTTAACTTCCTGCACAACTAGAGCACCCATTATCCCATGTTCTAGCCACTTTCTTCCCCACATAAGAAACTGTTGTAACTGCCGATAACTGCTCCCAAAACTGCCGCAACTGCATTGGCATGTTCTCCCACAAGCCAACTGCCCACTACCAGCACACATGTTGCCAGCATAACTGCCTCGCATGCCTTGGACCGTCCGCTGTCCAAGTTATCGTCAGCCCCTGCTGTCAAATTTGTCGACGCTGTCGATTTCACCATTGCTGCTGAATTCCCCACTGTCCCACTGTCATCCCAGCACTGTTTCGTCAAGGCCTTGGACAATCCTCGCCCAAGTCTCAACTCTCGTCAGCTCATTACTATGTTAGTTGTTGCGTGTTGCCGCACATGCATACTATCGATTTTCGCTACTCAGTCAGCTCACTACTATGTTAGTTGTTGCGTGCTGCCGCACATGCATACTATCGATTTTCGCTACTGTCACACGAGCTGCCACCCCGTAGCTATTGTCCAGCAACACTTTTCGTCAGCCTATACCTTGACGGATTTTAACCCTGTGACATCTAGCCTTTTACATTTCCAAGCAAAATCATTGAACCATTTGCCTTGCATCTATCATACATTGTAATCCCCAAGAAAACCTCTGGATCAGAATATGCTGCTCAGTATTTATAATTGTGATATAAATTATTTTTTAATTTTTAAAAAATATATTGAAATAATATATTTTTATTTTTAAAATTTATTTTCAATAATATATCAAATCAGTCAAAAATACAAAAAAGTAATTTTTTTAAAAAATAATATTCAATTAAAAAAACAGTTTGAACGCAAAAACAAACCAGGTGAAAACACAAATCATATCATAGTAACGAACAAAAGCCTGAGTCTCCTTGGTTTGTCGTTCTCTGCCACTCAAAAGGGTCAAAATTGCTCGAATTATCAAGTTGAGCAGAACGGAAGCAACGGGGATAATATCCCTACACTTGGGATTCTTAATCTTACGAAGTTTGCCCCAAGAATTTCCCAGGCAAAAAGTCAATTGAATCTCCCCTATTCTCACAAACATATCACGGACGAGAGATCATGGCAAGGGGGTAATGATTCATACAAGCAATATTATGAGAGCACTGAAAAGGAAAGCAGCGATGGAAGATGGAAGAAGGAAAATACATTAAAAGCTCCTTTTACTTGAAATATATTGCAGAGACTTCTTCCAAACTTGCTTTTCTAGCCCTCTTATAAGTGACAACATACTCGGTTGTAACAAAGGGGTTCCCGGATTTACAAGGCAGAAAATAATAACCAAACTGCAAAATATGGATAAATATAGAGAATGTAGTCGGAAATAAAAAAAAGGATCAAGATAGGAAGATAAAAACCCTAAAGCAGAAACCCTAAAACCCAAACTCCTGCCCAAACAGAAACCTGTCATTAGCTTCTCACCAAGAACTATTTGGATTGGAAGAAGCCTAGCCCGCCAAGTTATTTTCCATCCCCCCTGAGAAGTCTAAAGCAGAAATCTTCTGACAAAACTCGTTGTATGAAAATCTACAAATACAGCTGCACAAAGCAGAACTTGCAAAACCCCATTTGCCATATTTCGATTTGCCTCTGATGCATCTTTAGTTTCAGCAACCAAAACATTCTCAGAATCATTCAGCTTCTCCCTTGGAATGTTCAGTTAGAGTAAGGTTCTTAGCTAAAATCAGAGACAATGTCCAGAGACTTTCTATGAACCATTTGCTATCTCTTTCTTTTCATCACATGGCTTTCCATCCCACACCTGCAATTATGCAGGATAGGTCAACATAAGTTAAAAAGAATTATTAGAAATAAAACAAACAAATCATCTATAAAGCAAGATAAAAATATGATGAAGATCACGTGCCTGTTTCTTGAGCTGCTGTTGCTTAGCCTTTTTCTCCTGGATCATCTTCTCCCGATCCTCATAAAACACAAAATCATCTAAGATGCATGTTTTGCTGCTATGATCCTTGAATATTTTTATCAATTTAAGCCCTTGCTCTAACGTGACCTAAAATCACCAAGGGTGCATTTTAGAATCAAAATAGTGATGGATAAGAACTAATAAAAATTATAGAAGCTAATATAATTACCTCTTGAGTGTCTCTGCTGTTGGTGACTGGTTTGTTCTCATTGTTCTCGAGGGTAATATGCTTCAAGAAACTGTTGGGGACATCCTTCACAATGTGCCACTTCACAGGGAAATAGCCTGTCCACTTGTCCTGTTGCCAATACTCGACACTCTTGTCAAAATCAACTCGCCCTGTCATCTCTGCCAGTCCTACAAATTGCCCACTGGTATTAACCTAGACAAAATTAAAAAAGAAAGCTTAGCACATAGTCACTGAAAATTGTGAAATAATAAATCAGAAAGATCAATATCATTCACACGCTCACCGAGAACAATAGAAACACAGGGCAGCCACCAGATTTCTGCTCAGCCTCTTGGTATGCCGCATCAAGCTTCTTGTTGCCATTAGGTGTGCTAGCCCAGACGTTGTATTTAATGCACTTATGCACATCATCCTCGCTGTAAGATTTGATGATGAAAAATTTAGCATTATCATATTCCTCAGGGAAATCTGCTTTGTTATATTGTTCTCGGTCTGGAACCACAGTTGTCTTATCCTTCTCCTCAACATTAGTATCACTTGATGGCATACTCTGCCCCTTGACTGCAACCGTGGCAGGAACAAAACCCTTCAGGTTTTTGAAATATCCCTTGGCCCTAGGTCCTCTGTTTAGCTCATTCAAACCATCAATGCTGTCATTGTGATAACCAAAATAACCATTGCCTCGCCCCTTGGGTTTGTATTTGCTGTCGATAGCTAACCACCCATGTCCATTTATTCCTGCATTATAACCACCAGATCCAAAGCCCATGCCAGATCTGAAACCATTTCCATATTGTCCATAGAATTTGTTTGGATACATCCTATTCATATATCCATGAGTTGAACCCACGCCTGATGACAGAGCAGGGTGCTGCCATCCCTGATGAATCAAACAACATCATCCATGAGAAAAGATACTCTATAAAATGAATAATACTAATGAGCAAAACAAGGAATGCTCACAAAAGGAGTCTGGAAACATTTAGAAAAATCAAAAGTCATGCAAAAAAATTAATAAAGCCCCAACACTGATATACAGGTTAACAATACAAAATGGCATGGCAACATTTAAAGCGTTGTAGAACTGAAGAATAGGGGGGCAGATATCAACTTAAACTATCAATTTGGACAAATAAATAATAGAATGGGGAAAAGGATTCAACCAACTGAATCATTTGATTGCAATTTAAGAAGAATAAATTAGGACACACGTGATTTATTATCATCCATTTGGTCAAAAACATGCAACAGATAGAATGAGGAAAACCATAGATCACATACCATGAAATGAGAATTTTGATGGAAATTATGGTTCCTTGAAGATGGAGCATTGCCAGCCTTTGAAAATGAAGAAGAAATCTCAGTGTTTTTGTACAGCCCATTGGAAATCACAGAGGTATCCAGCAATGGGATATCAGGTTGTAACCTATCAAAACGAGATTTCAGATCCTTGTAACCAGAAGCAGGAAGTCCCTTTGTAAAACCACCCCTTCCATATGAATTTTGATACTTGGGCTTGTAGGGAACTGCACCGTTGCTTCCCTTAACATCCACACCATTTGCAATGCCATTAGAATTTTCTTTAGCTGTCTCCACAGGCAGAGGCTTCTGGTCGGTAGCTGTTGAGATAGACAGATCGCCTTGGGAAGGGGCTACATGGCTGGGTGTGAAGGGCTCACCACTTGGAGTCAATGGCTGGAAGTAGGGAGGAGGATATTGGTAGTGCTGAGGACCATATAACTGACCATCATTTCCCATAGTGGGAACAGGAGAAGCTGCTGGTGAATATGGGCTATAGGGTCCATACCAATAACCATGGGGATACATAGCAGATCCGTTATCCCCATAAACCCCCTAAAAAACAGAAAATGCACATTAGAAAACCAGTTGTTTGGAAAAGAAATGGAGTCCCCTAATTATATAAATACAATTGAAGAAGATTTTAGAAAAGCAACTCTACTAAGCACCTAATAACACTGCCATTTGACACTACCAACCAAGCAGGAATACTTACAGAAACCATATCTACTCCTTCTGCGTTCAGATACTTTGAATAGTCGTCCCACTCCCCAGCCCCATTATAGCCTGGAAGAACCAGCATCGACACATTTTATCAAATTTACGTTCATCTCTTCAGTGGCATCACAGAATGAATAATTCAACATGAAAAAAAAAGACATTAAATTCCAGCAGTATTTTGGCACGTTAAACTCACCTCCATAGTAATAGGATTGATAACCATTAGGAAGATAGCACACAGTTGGATCCATGAAGCTGGATAGCACTGGGGTCACAGACCGGTCACTTGGCTGGATCTAGTAATAACAAAATTAACAAATATAAGCACAAATCTATGCCAAAGATAAAGATCTAATCTTTAAAGGTGAAAATTACCTTGCTGGTGGGCTCAGGCATCTCCAAAGTCTTTGTTTGCGAGTCCAAGGATAACTTCTGCAGCAAATCTGAAGTTTCTATGGAAATTAAAAGTAAAGGAATTCCATAAATCCGGAATCATAATATTGAAACAAACAACAGGAAAAAATCCCAACTTTGAATATTATTACTGGAAAAATAAAAAAGAGCAAGCAATTCATCAAGAAGCAAGCTTCAACCAGAAGATCAAGCATAATCCACAAAACAAATTTCATAGTGTGAAATTCAATTCACTTATGCCACATATATGTCAAGCAAATCAACATAACGAAAGGCATAGCTATCAGTACAAGTATAGTTAAGAAAAAACTCAAAACCCATCTCAAGTTCAATGAAATCCCTGCAAGAGAGCCTAAGAAACACAGAAAAACACAAAACCAGCAGATCAAGAGCAAAAAAGAAGAGCAACAAGTGAAGAGAAAAAGAAAAGGGTAGACGAGTAGATAAGGATACGGTCAGCCGAGGATGAAAGGGTAGCCATGACAGATCTTGTGAGATAATAAAACCCTTTGGTGGGTTCAGTGGATAGCCGCCAAAGGTTTGAGCTTTTAGGGTTTTTGGGGGAAAGAGGGCTTTCTTCACTCTATGTTTGCGATTCAAATACCTCCACCACACCCTCCACTCGCTTTCGCTCCACCATACTCTCTCACCCGCAGGTCATTCAATGATGTCATCAATGCTCATTTATTGGACCACGTTTCCAGCTGGCAAGTTGTGAATGGGTACCATTTTTTTTATTATTTAGCTGATGGGTTTTTATTGGTGGGTGAGATGGGTTTGGGGGTGACAGTAGGGTGAGTTAGGAATCATGCAAGGAGGGTGCATCGAAGGGGAGTGTGTTTATTTTTTGGGAAAAAATGAATTGTTATTATTTTTTATTTTAGAGTTATTGAATTATTGTAATATATTAATGTTAAAAAAAATAAAAGACTACCTTAATATATTTTTAAATAAAAAATATTTGGAAAAACTTTGGAAAACGAATGCACCATCAATCCTTCTCCTGCAAGGAATCCTTTTGTCTTTTTAATGGGCTGTAAATGACAAAAAAATCCTCGTGCTATTTCTCCAACCCCATGGAGAAGGGGCATCTCTTGGGGGTATTATTGTTAAAATAATGGCAAAGATCTTTCCGAGAAGAAAGATGGATATAATTAAGGAAGGAAGGGGGAGAAACACTTGGACATGGTGGCGGTCGAGAGAGAGTCCAAAATATACTTGTGAATATACTGCGAGGCTTGATTTATTTGTACGCAGCCAGCAGCAGTGCCGGTCAATCAAAGCCGCCTCAATTTGCTGGCTGATCACAAGTTCACAACCACAGACCTTAGAACTTGCTATTAAAGTTTCGCCACTTCGGATATCAACTTCAAATCATTACGCCTCCTGAACATGAACCCTAAGTGCTTGCTTTGTCGATAGGCACGGCATTTCTATCATGGAATTTCATAATTGAATCTTAAGGGATCATTATAATTTGAATTAACAATATCACAATCTTTAGATTTATCAATAAAATTTTTTATTGGTATTTAAACTATCATTTCATTTATAAAATAATTATCAATAAAAAATCTTCGTCGATAAATTTTTCATTAGTAATTTTTTTATTTATTTATCAATAAAAAATTTTATTAGTATTTAAACTATCATTTCATTTATAAAACAATTATCAATAAAAAATCTTCGTTGATAAATTTTTCATTAGTAATTTTTTTATTTATTGACAAATCCATTGATAATAAAAAATATTATTACCAATGAATTTAATAAATAAAAAAATAAAAAATCTTTTTTTATTATATCGATAATTTTCTCATAAACAAATTGTATGTAATTTCATCTATAATTAATTAAAAATATTTTAAATATATATATCTTACAAAACTAAATAATAATTAAATTAATATTAATCAACACTCTATGATACTCAAAATGCTTGGAAAAAAGAAGAAAATCAACTTAAAAAAATTTGCAACAAATAAATAACATGAAAAAATTAATTCAAAAAAATTCATATAAATTTTTTTTTAAAATTCTATAAATAAATCAATTAAAAATTGATCTCATATGAAAAAAATAATTCTACAACATTATTCATACAATTATTAAGAATAAAAATAATAAAAAATAAATATAGTTAAAAAACATGAAAAATAAAGAAAGAAGTTACAAGTGAAGCTAAAAAGAAAAAAATTTTTTTACCTTAATGAAGTTACAAGTGAAGCTAAGAAGAGAAAAAATAAATTCATAAAGTATACTACTTAAAAAAACTAAGAAAAAAAAGAAAGACATACCTTAGCATGGAGGAGAAAAAAAGTTGAGAAGAAAAGGAACAAGAAAAAAAAAGAGATGAATCTGTTGTGAAATTAGAGATTCTAGGTTTTTTTATTAGAGCATTTTACAGATGGTTTTACCGACTGATAATTAAATATTAGTATTTTTAATCATTCCGTATGTAATATTTAATTTAAATTTTAAATTTAATAAAAAAATTTAGAAACTATCAAATATTACCGACGACTTTTCAATCCGTCTATTATTCCATCTACAATATATAATTTTAATTTTTTAAAAAATAATCAAATAATATCGATGACTTTTCAATCCATCGATGATTTTGTTTATAAAAAATAATAATTAATATTGTAATTTTTCAAAAAATCATCAAATATTTCTGTTTTGTATATCAATCTTCTAGTAATGGAATTACATCATCTAGTTTGCTTTTATAAGCAGGAAATTTAAAGTGCATCATAGTATTAGATGTGTGGCCCGTGGTTAAATCCGATACATCTTCAAGATCTTTATCATGTCATCTGTTACCAGAAGTTACAAGTGAAGCTAAAAAGAAAAAAAATAAATTCGTAAAGTATACAATTCAAGATCTTTATCATGTCATCTGTTACCAAATCCTAAGTAAAATAACTCCTAACCAAGCAAATGATTTTTAATTTTTTTTATACCTAAATTTCACAAAGATTTACATGCTCGAAGAGTTATAAAGGTGTTTGGTAATTTTTTTAAGAATTGTATATAAACCCAAAGACATGTTTACGGATTAACATCATAAAAAAAACTCAAGTGAAGATTTGTTTGTGCCAACCGCATATTCTTACAAAAAAATTAATAACTTTTAATCGTTAAATCAAACTGAAATTTAATTAGAAAATTCTACCTATCTAATTTTATAAAAAACCGACTAGTTGTTTTCAACTAAGCTCCAAAAAAAACTCTTAAATTATGCTTGAAAGATGATATTTGAGCAAATTTCATTATTTTCATTTTTATTTTTGATTTTTAGTTTAATTTTGGATTTTATATTGTTTTTTGTATTTGACTTAAGATTCTAGTTTTCTTACCTTATGAAGGTAAGTTTCTCGTTTATATAAGAAAATATAAACCTTTAAAGAGCCACACTAAATTTTAAAAAAAAAATAGTAATAAACTATGGATTAGGGTTTTAAAAAAATAGTAATAAACTATGGATTAGGGTTTTGTGATGAAAAAAACTTTTTTCAAGAAATTTTTTTTTATCTTTCTTTTGCTTATGTTGTTTTCATCTGCGTTAAAGAAAGGAAGAAGTTGTGCTAACAGCCCGTTGATAGCGACTGCCTGGGCCTTATTCCGTTCCTTTCCATAGACACCGGCCACTAACATTAAAGCATAAACTGTACTCCACATATAACAACACTGAGCAATCATAATCTGTGTTCCAAGCTAGAACTTCTTTCTTCCGTCAACAGATACAATTTCCTTTCATACAAGTGCATATTCGATGCTCGCATTCAACTTCCCATGATCAACCAACAACATTCAAGAAGAAGCTAGCTACTTCTTTTACATGTCAGCATTAAAAAACAAAAACAAAAACTCTGTTTCGATAATGCGCATGAACCCGTGTTCTTTCCCCTTTCCCTTTTTATTTGTTCTTCTTTTTATTACTTGAATAGGAACTCTCAGCAGCTTCCATCTTTTCAAAGTGTTCAAACTAATGAAGCTTCTAAGAATCAACTTTAGAGTTGTAATAATAACTGATAAGCAGAAAAAGGAGCGGTGCCCTCAAATTCTGCTCCTTAATCAAGTAAGATTAGGTAAGAATTTGACATTAGTCATCAAATGATTTGATGGATTAGCAAATCATCGTACTCTCTCACTACATTGCATATCATACCGACATTCTAAGTTGACCTGTTATTGTCCATTATAGGCTGTAGGCCCAGCTTTTTTGCACCAGCTTTTGTTATTTGATCTGATCTCATGTCATGTAAGTGACAAATATACATTGCAATTTGTGAACAATTACATGTGGTTGTTTGTTTTGGAGCTGAAGATTGAGGTTTGGATGTGAAATATAAAAAAAAAACTGAAAAACAAGAAAAATTAATTTTTATGGTTGAGTTTTGTGTATAATTACTACAACTTCAACCATGAAAACTAAAACAAATGATCATTTGTGAATTTCAAATATAGATGGGGTGCATACTCTCTTGGCTACCAAATCCAAAATCAAAATCATGAGCCTTCAACCCCCGCCATGACTAGGCTTGTGGGTGGAGTTACGGCTATGATATCAAATTTCTTTTGTAGTTTTATATAAATTCACCCATCATAACCTTACCCCAAATTTGGATTTACATATTTAAAAAGGAAAATAGGAAGAGACACCATTCAAGCCACTTAAGTAGTGATTATATAAAAATCAAAATGATAATAATAATAGCAAAGAAATAATGTTAGGTAAAGTGGTTGCAAGTTTCTTGTTTTGTTTGTGTGCACAAAATAGTGAAAAGAAGTGGGTACAAGAAGGACAAAAGGAGAAAATGAAAGGCAAAGATTAACCAAAACCAGAATGTAATGAAAAGATTGGTGCGGGTGCTGTGCTGTGTGGAGTGGTGTGGTGTGGGAAGATTGAAATGCGCACTACAATGAAAGCTCAAAAAAGCAACAACACTTTCTTTGAACATCTAAAGAATCAAAACAGGTAACCTTGCTCTTTGGTGGGTGGGTCCATCTCCTCCATGGCCAAGAAAGAGTCCCCATCTTTACATTAACCTTATTATTCCCATCAAACACTCCCTCCCTCCCTCTCTCTCTCTCTCTCTCTCTCAAACCAACTTCTTTCCATTTCACACGAGATAAAGTAGTTTTTGAATTGTTTTCTCTGTTTTTCTTGCTTGGTAATTTGGGGTTTGGTCTGATACCCTAATAGCTTTAAAAAAATTTGATCTTTTGGATGATGGATTGATTATTTATAGTAGCTTGTCGGTGAAGAAAGCTGGGGTTTTTTTTATCTGCTGTTTGTTTTGTTTCTGGTAAATTATGGGAAATTGTTGTTGTAGAAGGGAGCCTTCTGTTTACAATGAAAAATCAGGTTGCTTACCACCACTTTCTCTTCTTTTCGCCCAATTCATGCAATTGTTTCTTCTTTATATGTGATTTTTTCTGCATAATTAGATGACTAATATCATGATCATCCTCTGCTCAGAATGATTTGGCATGTCCTGTACGAATCATATGTCTCCAGTTATTTTTTTTTTAATTTTGTTAAGAATGTCTGAGGAATTTGAGGAATTTTATGTTAGACT